CTCCCTCTCCTCTTCTCCCTCCTCTCCCTCCCTCTCCTCTTCTCCCTCCTCTTCTCCATCATCTTCTCCTCTCCCTCTTCTTCTACCTCATTATCAATAACTGCTTCTCCTGTGGTTGTATAAAGTGCCAAGTGCTCATATCACACTGGTCTGGTGACTCTGGTCATACAAGATCACCTAAGCCCATCACCTGCAATGTCAAGGGTGGTATTGTCACTAGTAGTAGTGATTAGTGTAATGCTTTACGTTTTCATCAACCTCGTTCATTTCTTCCCTGTCAGGCTCCGTGTCTTCTTCCTCCTCTCCCCATTTCTTCTGCTCCTCCTCCTACCCTCTTCTTCCTTTCCATCGATCATTTTCTCTTTTTCCCCTCTTCAATATCTACATATTCAAAAACATCATAAGGGTCTCAGAGGTTTTGATTGTTTATTTAAATTAATTTTAGATGACCAGTTCATTAACAATACGAATCGAACACTTACTTCACCTGCACACACCCACTTGCACACACTTGCACATTTTTCTTCTTTTTTCTTTTATTAATTTCTTTCCACTTTTTATTCAGATACTTTCTGAACAAAATCTTTATATGTGACTCTCTATTCCCCTACATTCTCCTAAAACAGCGCCATGTACCCCCCCCCCCTTCCCGGCTGCTATCAACTCAAGCTTCCTTGCTTATGATAGTTGGCCTCTGCATTTATCTTGATTATTTTTACTTACCTCCATACTTTCAAGCTTTCAATTATGCATTTTTTTAAATATTTTATTTTGTGTGTATTAAGTTGTCACTCTTGATGTAAATCAATTATATTATATACTATTATTGTTATTTGAATGTTTTATATTTGATTTATCAATAAATGCAGAAACATCTGCTAAAAAAAAAAATAATAATAATATCTGCGTGATCTGCATTGCACCTTTTTCCACCTAGGAAGTGAGGTATCACATTTTCTTAATTTCATACAACTAATGGAATCATTACAAGAGGTTGTACAGTTCGGGAACAAACAAAATTAAAGTTTGTTCCTTTTTTCTTCTCTTTATTCCATACATTTTTTTCTTCTCTCCATTCCCTCTTTGTGTCGCTTTCTTGTTTCCAACCATTTATATTTACCAAATCCTATTTTATCAGGGAATTTAACTGTCTAAACTTTGACAATATTTTTTTTAGTTTTACAATTTAGTTCTGTTATAATTTGTATTTGTTATACATGTATGTCATTCAAATGTATTTATGTATGAAATTGCATGAATTAATTCATGTATTTTTACAATTTTTTAAAATCTTTTATACAAAGATTAATTGGATCAAAATAAATTGAATTGAAATGTTATTTTTTAGCAATCTCCTACAACAGACTATCAGAACCTAATGAGGGTTGCAACATGGTAGATGTAACTTTGCACGATAAATAAATGAATTAATAACTGAAATTGTTTTTGTATATCGTTTCTATTGACATTGTTCTTGTCTGTTCAACCTTGTGATACACAAATCTTTTTATGCCTCCATTATCGTTTTCATGACTAAAGTAAAAGCTTTAGGAAAGCAACTGCAGTCTTGAGATGTCTTGCATACTCTTCTGAATCCATACATGCCAACTGTTCAGATTAAAGAGGAACATTCCTCTTTTTGGGAGAAGATAATTATCATTTTAATGCAGGTGTTCCTCTTCCTGTACAAATTTGTCTGTAGTATTGAATAGGAGAGTTAGAATTGTTCCTCTTTTTTTTTAAATAGCATAATTTGTACAGATTTCTGATTTTCAAATGTTGGCATGTATTGAATATGTTTTCATTGTGATAGGATCGGTATTATTGTGACAAATTATACATTCTCAATCAAATTTTTTTTTTTTGTTGACCATTCCATTCTCAGATTCAATCATGCAACAACCAAACATATACTTCTCATTGATGAAACCATCATCGTCACTCTCATATCTTTCTACACCTACATCACCAGCATCATCAACCGCATAGTCATCATCATCATTACTAGCTGCCTTCATTCCGTTTCCTCTTCTTTCCTTATCAAAATTATAATCATCTCCATTATCATCATCCTGTCCTTCATGTCCCGTTTTGTAATTCTGTTCTTTTTGTATATTTCGATTATTCAGACACTTTAAAAGGGTTTGTGAAAATATGTTATATTATATCTATTTTACTGTGATTATTAAGTTCAAAATGATTTATGAAAATAATGTTCATATTTATTCTTGGGAACCTACAATGCTTTCCAGTAGGTTCCTGTTTCATTTCATAATTTTGAACTTTGTCAACTATTTTCTTTATTGTGCAAACAATTGATATATATGAAATGGAATAAATTTGAATCAATCAATCAATCGGCACATTAAATAGCTTTCTGTACTTATTATAAGCCTCCTGTTCAGTATTACTCATCACTACAAATTAAACTTTCATGAATTATGATCAATAAGAAAACATGAGACACATATTTTGGTAATATTTCATATTTAATACTTCACAGATTTTGCATTTTCAGAATAAAATACAAAATATCGGCACACGCAAGAGGTTCATATTCTCCTCCGTCGCCAGTTAAAACTCTCTTCGTATGGAACACTAGCTCGCATCACGACAATTTGTTAAAATACTCCATTGTTAATTATTCAAAATGCTTCTGTGGTGTTCACATACTACATGTATATATATAAAACAGAATAGCGGTTGGGCTAATAAATACAAAGTGCAAATTACATGTTTACATAAAATGTCCTACCGTTCTAGTATAATCTGACTATATCCAAATTTTCCAATATTTATGCATTCACTAAAAGTTTTTCCAGAAAATAGGAGAGAAAGGGAGTGCTGTGCAGTCTTGGTAAAGGTTTGGCCAGAAAATAAGAAATTGGTTTGAAAGAGATTAGCAGCTTTCTTGATTAAAATCAGATAAAACATTTGTAAAAGGGGGAGCTAGGTTGTAAATAGATCTTGACAGGATAAAGCCTACCACCTATTCCTACTTTAAATAAAAAGTTGCAAAAGGAAATAATTATGCTTGAAATAGCACATAACTTGTAAAAAATATTTTGTAAAAGAGCGGATAACTATGAATTTGTCACTATGATGAAGTAATTTGTCCATAATTTCTAGGCTATGTACACATGTATTCATCATCATCGGACTGAAGTAGCCATAGGAATGCTGTGTAGTGCCTATCAGTAATAAATTTGACATTTGTAGTATAAAAAAACATTCATCTGGGAAGCCAGCTTAAATCTTTTTCTATTCTTTCTGGTGATCACGTAACATAAATTAACTTGCATAATAAACTGAGCCTTTATCAGAGGGTACATAAAAACAAATGGAATATAATACATCGATATATTACATTTTCTGTTCAAAAGCCAACACAATAAGAATTTCACTCTCCATGTAATTAAACAGTACGTGTAATTCAGTTTGTCAACATGTAATACAAAATAATATAAATAGGTTGAAGATATTTGTTAAGATATAACAGATTAATACCATATGAATCAAAACAAAATGACAAACTTCAATTTAGTGTTGCCATCATTTTTCTTCAGAAAAAAAAAACGGGGAAACAAAAAAAGGAAACAAAAATCATAGTAATTATACTTTCATACATGGAGTAAAAATGAATAAGTAGAACATACTACATAGAGCACCGTAATGGCCTATACATGTACATATCATTTCCATACAAAAGAATGGTAGAGAGAAGGAGAGGAAATGCTATCTGTAAAACAAACCTGTACAAATAGAGATGAGATGATAGACAGTTTGTAGTAGCTATCAAAAAGCAACAATTAAACATGCGCATATTTACTGAAAGAATGCACAAAACTACTTGAGAGTATAGGGATTAGTAAACTTGTATAAAAAAAAAAAAGATTAAATAAATATAGAGTAACTTCAAATTCAGGTGCATCATTTTTAAGGGATCATATATTAATGTACACCAACAAAATAGCAAGGGCTCTTCTTTAACCATGGGAAAGTTTGATGGAAACAAAGACATAAAAGAGTGATATAAATTGTGGATTACCTTTGAAGATTTACGACGTTACTTGTTGAGGAGATAGTTAATGAGATAACTGTGTTGGCAAGTTAAAATAACAATCTAGCGAGAAGACATCAAATCCAAAATTATACACTGTACAACACAAATACATAACAGTTATCTCACAACGAAGGGGAATGAACTTTGCAGGGCCAATTTAATTGAATTATCTAAAAACATGGGACCCTCTTTTCAGTTTATTAAGGTCTAGAACAAAATGAGGTACAGGGTCTTGCTAAAGACAGGTTTAACCATGTAACTCTTAACAGAGGACTTAACTGACCAATGTTTGGAAAAAATTGTTTTCTTCTTTCTTGTTTAAGAATGTATGTACCAAAACCACAATTCATGAGTAAAGTTATAGTGCTTAATTTGACCCTTTAGCTCTGTAGTATGGACATCTTTGTGCAATGTATGTTTCCTGAAAAGAATGGGGATGTTTACATCGTATCAATCTCTCCAGAAGTATTTGGAATATCTTAAGTGAATAACTAATGGAGATAAATATATCAATCTTACAACGGTGAGGTGCGGGTGAAAGTTAAAACCGACTACAAATCAAATTTTTGGAAGTACACAAGTTTCTAATATTTTTTTCTGTACAGATAGACTATCAATCAACGGGGTCTGCTCGCTATTCATAAAGACCGCTATTTATAAAAGACCACTATTCATTTAGTCACGCATTATGAACAGTGGTCCTTATGAACAGTGGTCCTTATGAACAGTGGTCCTTATGAATAGGGGTCCTTATGAATAGAGAGCTTGACCCTAATCAACAAAAAAGGATCCATCTTCTATAAGAAGCGATCTCCTCGTTAAAATGACAACAAATTCATGTCTCATAATCGGCTAGTGTAAATATATCTGCATTCCATTCATCAAGACCTACAGGTAGGTTGTAAATAATTTCAAACATTCTTCGTTGATATACAAAAATATCTTGACAATCTGTACAGGAATCTAGACTGCGATATTAAAAACAACTTTACACCTACAGGCATCTACAGGACATTTTAAAATTCTGGCTAAAAATGCAAGTGAATGCAGAATATATCTTATTGACTGAGACAATAGCAACAGTGTTTTCTTTGTACAATAAAATGAGTACAGATATGTCTTTTTTTAAATATGAAAAGGCAACAGTTTGCAAATATTTTGTATTTGTAGAGATACATGAACATCGAAACATCAGACAATATTACTGTTTGCTCAAGATCAAAAACGTAATAAGAAAAGAAAAAATTACATCACATCATGCATTATTTTATTTCATTAAAGCTATCTCTTCATTTCATATATACCTTACAATTTCATTCTTCCTTTTTCAATGCTAAACATAATATTCAGAACCCCAGAGTTACATAATCAATACATTAACTCATCAACATGTTTGTTCATTTACATGAAATAAAATCACTGCTTGTCTTCTGGTTCGGTTCAGAGATCGCAGAAAAATCTCTTAATTGCTTAACAATCATTTTAAAATATAAATACTGTAGTTATAAGTAGATTTGACCACAGAAAAAGCTCTTAAAATAAATGTTATGTGACCAATTTGAATGATATGGAGTGACTCCTCGTCTTTTAGTGCACTTTTGACTCGGAGTGAATACTTTTGGGGGGAAAATCACCCTGAAGAGACTCTTTTATACTGGCCTATTTACTAAAAAAAAATTGGTGGTGTTAATTTTATAAAGTAATCATTAAGAGAATGACGGCCTTGGATCTCAACACTGGTAGGCTACATTTAGTGAGAAATTCTATAATCAAACCATTCCAGACATTAACATAAATTCCACTAAATGAAGAAAATTCCAAAGACGATCAATTGGTCCCAATATTTCACCCTTTCTGATCTTCGGAATTTCATCACACAACCTGAGCTCTCTCCTTAACTAGATTTTTGTAATAAAAAAAAGAATAAATAATAAAAAAAAGCATCATTTTTGTATATAAGATTTTACACATAATATACATAAATCATCACTACTATTTGAATATCACTGTCATAATATCTCTTGATTTAAAAAAAAAGAAAAAAACAGAACAAAAAAACTCTTGGCAGTAATTTTGGTGAATATTGTGCTCATTTTTAGAATTATTTACAACAATTTCATGATATCTGTCCTCCAGTAGTCACACGACAGGCAGTTTCATTGACAAAAGTATGATTTCTGTGTATATATATTTTTTTCATAATCTTCCTTTTTCTGAGAGAATCCACATCTATCAAAATCATCCAGCAATTATCTTGCGCTCTCCGTCGAGAGGCCATCATTGTAAACCTTTGATATCAATACAAAATTCTTCGGGTTCATATGATAGCATTTTCAATCAAATCTAGTCTTTAAAAAGTTGGTTAAAATCTTTAAAAAGTTAAAATTATCAATCCAAGAAAAAAGAGGATTAAAATCGCATGTTGATAAAATCAGAACACCTTTGTAATTATGGGCGAACACACATGTTGGTTTCTGTCTTGTCCAAGTGTCTTCTAACGTCACTGCATTACTTATCACACAGAGGTTTATCTCCTTCGCTGTTGAGTTCTCAGTATCTCTGCTAAGTTACGGCGAAGCAAGACGGGCATGAGCCAATCACCGGGACTGTTTCCGACATTCATAGCTCAATGGCTTCGTTTCGACCAATCACAAAGCTTGTAAGGTATTGATGGCTTCATGGTGACGAGTTTCAACCTCTGGCAATCTCCATTAAAAAATCAAGGTCCCGTTAAAATCAGTGTCCATTTCACGGCGGGCGAGACGTCAAGGCATCACAGTAAACCTTGCATGAACTTCTCTCTAATCTGTTTCAAATCAAAATGGGGTAAAAACATGAAATTATGAGTACATGTAATTAGACTACCACATCTAAGGGTTGCAAAATGGCAGAGAGTATCGCAGCCTCTTAGATTTATAAAATAATATAACAATTAAACAGAAAACTTCAAAGCTCACGAGTCACAACAATATTGAACGTGCAGCACAAAAGAAGACAAACAGCAAATACAGACTGCACAAAATGCTACATTTGGCTTTCCATTGCAAAACTTTCTTGTGCAAATAATAGCCTTAATTGTGCAAATTAAATCTGAAGAAATTAAGAAGAAATATTACAAAATATCATCTCTTTTTAAAATATAAAAAGACTAAACAAAGTTTTCAAAATGCACATGAAAGATTTATTGCATTAACATTATTTCCTAATGAAGTATTTCATTTTGCCTGTATGAGAGGCTAATTTGTACGGTGAAAAAAGACTTTTGGTAAATATACGTCAATACATTACGGTACTATATTTGTTACTTTACTTAGAATACAAAGTGTCTGTAAAAAAACCATGGCATTGATTTATTCCAGGCCAAAACGAGTTTAATCTTTGCATGCAAGGTGGGAATATTCTAGCACTGGGAATTCCTTTGCCTACAAATCTACAAAATCTACAGCTTTCTTTTCATAACTAGTTTGGGTTCATTGTATAATCAAATTTTCAGGTTAATTTCCTGTAAGATGACAAAATTCTTTTCACTTTCATCCCATTTTTCAAAAAAAACATTTTTCTCGTCATTGAAACAGCCCAGAGGACTTGGTTTTCAACGGAAATATAAAAAATCATAAAACATTGAAAAGAAAAGAGGAAACATATTTCCATTTCCTTTTTGAAAAAACGATCACACATAAAACTTAACAAAAAATAACACCATGCAAGAAATGGAGACAGATCTGAAAAGAAAAATCTGAACAATTTTTGTGTCCAGATCGTGCAAAATGACACGGGTGTATCAAAACATGCATCATCGGCATCCATTAGAATTTATACCGGACCAGCTCCCAAGAGTGACGGGACTTGGTTGTTAAACGACAGATGCAAGCAAAATGCAGGACTTCTTTGTTCCAATTTGGATTGGCAAATCAGAGGGGTACTGGGGAGTTAGTAAACAAAAAGCTAAAAAAGAGGGGTAAAAAATGTGAGTGGGGTTGCCGGGTGGGCGGGCGGGCGGGGTGGCCTGGATCAAATCCACGTCATGGTTTCTACGTACACACAGCTGTACCTTCGTCGCCCTCATCCATAAACTGGATCTCGTCAAGGCTATTGAGACCATCGGATGATATCTGTGATTGAGGGAGGGAGGGTGGTAGGAGAAGACTTTAAGGTCGGAGGTCAATTGGTTATTGACTAGAGCAAATAAAAAGCTCCAGCGAGGTGTTAGTGGTAGTGATATTGATGGCAGTGGTGTAGTTAATGCTGATGGTGGTGACTTGTGGTTAGTGAAGAAACTTTTGAATGATAATCATAATTTTACATCCTGTTCTAGTCTGAATGAAATCATGGTCAGTTGGTTTGTTAATACTAAGATAGACTCAGAGGTAGAGATAGAAGAAATGATAGTGTATACGGGGAAGTATTGTTAGTGGTGGCTTCGCTGTTGGGAGAAAGCTTTGGTCTTAGATTTCCAGTACTTGAATTTGATGGTCTGTGAGGAAATCTACTTTAGAGGTCAAAGAACTTTTTCCATGAAAGTAGCTACTGGTATATGTACTGTACATACATGTATATGTAGTCTGCTTTGAGTGCTTAAGGGGAACAATTTTAGCTTTACTCAGCCTTTGCTTGCTCTAAAACTCATCATGATCAAAAGCATTGTTCGTTTTTATTTTCCAGGAGGGAGCAGGTCATGATGAGAATTTAGTTCCCAGTGTTTTTTTCGTTTTTTTTGATTTTTTTTTTCCATGATGGGTGCAAAACATGGACATAAGGTGACAAGGGAAAAGTAAATTTAGCAAATTCAAATAGGCAGTTCAAAATGAAAAGATAAAAAAAGACAGAAGTTTATCGAGTCCGGCAGAAAGGTAGATGAAAATCATAAATTTGCAAATTCTTTCAAAGAATTTAGCAAGCCTTGGCTACATCGAGCATGCTTAATATAAGAATGTAGAAATAATTTAAAAGCTTTGAAAGAAATGAGGCTACATTTAGAATTGAAGTTATGTGACAGTGGAAAGTTTTACATCAAATAAAAAGAAGTAAAAGTGAGCATGCAAAATGAAAGAGATGTAAACATTTATTTCAAAGGTGAACCAACAGTGCTTGAATAATGATGACATAAAGTCAGATTCTTGCCATCTACGAGTGGTTGTTATTATAATGTTAAATAATACCTCAAGTAGTCATAACTCCAACATACATAGATGAATACATGCAAGTACATCTTCATACTATGTGTAGGTCCATGAAAGTGGATTTTTTTTTTTTTTTTTTTTTTTTGCCAAAAAGCAGAAGTAACAGATAAGAACAGGGTATTTTTAATTTTGGAATTTGTAAAAGAAAGAATCTTCAAATTTTCAAACACTGTTGGGCTGCATTAATATTCGTTGAAATATTAGCTATAAGAAAAAGGCAGCAATAGTTGGCACATAACATATTATACAAGATACAATAATACAAAATATACAACATTTGTGAGTGGCAGTAATATTCCTGGAAATCCTAGAATAACAGCAATTTTCGACACAAAATAAAATCACAACAAAGTTTTGAATGTTTTACTACTAGGTAATCACGTTTTTAAAAAAGACTGACTGACAAATTTCAAGATTACAACAAATAACTTCTCAAACAAACAAAAAACAATAAAAATATTATTAAATGAAAGTCTCTGTTCACTCTGACTTATTAAATAATCCCTTAATTTATAATGCTATCTTTGAATTCTGCTCAGCTCACATGGTATCATTGGTATTTATAGACAAGATTTCTTATATCTTATTCAATGAAGACAACATTTTATCAACAGTGCATTTTTCATACCGTTAACCCTGACTTGTTTTCACCATTTTCCTTGGGTTTTGATTCTGCAAGATGAAGAGAGAGATAGGAGACAAAGTTAATTACTTCATAATGCAAAATATGAGAGAGAAAGAGAGAGATAAACCCTCATTCGCGCGCACAATGGGGTAAAATGTCTATTAAAAAAACTGAGTAAAATATAGCCAATTTGAATACGGTATAGCAAGTTTGAATATACTGTAGATGCACAACAAAAATTCAGGATTGTGGGGTGGGGTAAATATAGGGGCAACCATTTTCCCCTATAAATTCTCACTGATCTATCTATGAAATATAATATACAAATATGTGACTTGCACTACATAACTGTATCTCATTTACTCATTTTGTTTTTCTTCTTTCTTTAACTGCTTTGTGTAAATGAAGATTAAAGATGAATAGGTCTCTATATTTGGTCACCAAATTATTCGTATTTACCACACCTATTGGCATAAAATTGTAAATGACAAACCTGTTTCTGGTGATTTTAGTTTGTTGATTTCTTGTGTTTTATGGATCGCCCTTTCAGCTTGTAATGCATCGTCTTCTAGAGATTGCATCCTGAAAGAAGAAAAAACATCAACCACAATGATATACAGTGATATCTGTAGATAAAGACTGCTCGAGGGAGACAGAAAAAGTGGTCTTTATAGGCAGGTGGTCTTTATGTACAGGTTCTGTAAATTTAGGTTTCAATGAGAAACCATTTTCAAGGGAAATTTTTAAAAAAGTGGTCTTTATAGACAGGTGGTCTCTCCATGCAGGTAGTCGCTATGGCAGGTTTAACTGTATTTGGTATATGATATAAGATAAGGTGAAATTAAGAAACATGCAGCATTCCTTGAGAGGTCAATTTCATATAATCAGGTCTCAGATAGTACATTGTGGCAACTAAATAGTAACAATTTGATAACTCAGTCACACTGAAGAACTGTTTCAAAACTAAACACCACTCTACAAATTCATTGCCATTCAGGGTAATGTAATTATTCATTTGGTCTATCTTTGGTCTGGTGTGGGTCTTGTTCGTGTGATCGGGTGCTGAGTATGTGTATTACTACGAGGAATAGACAGATGAATAAAGAAGAAAAATGATGTGGGAAATGGAAAAAACAGGACCAAATAATTTGGAAAAGAAGAGGAAGGAGAGTATAAGTATTTGGAAGACTTCATGGGAGAAAGAGAGAGGGAGAGAAAAAAGTAAAACGAGATTCAAAGATGATGTAAATCTTATACTAACCTTGCAGCTCTTAAAATGGCTTTCTCATCAGCTTCTCTTGACCTGAGCTCTGATGCTGATAACTCGGAGTGGTTGGAACCATCTTTCTTTGCACCAATGGGACTAATTGATATACTGTAAAGGAAAAATATACCAAATGATTCATCTCGTTATTACCACCACCACTACCCTTTATCTTTATTGTCATTGTAATCATTAACATCATCATTATCACCTTCATCATCATCATCATAACTCTCCTCCTCCTTCTACACCCGTGGGTTCCCTCAAGGCGGATTGACTCTTCTTGATACGTCTGTTCATCATCTCTTTAATAACTGTATCCTCGAGACCAATTGTTGGCCTTCAGTCTTGTATAAACACATGTTATCGTAAGCACCAACTAAATCTCTCCTAATTGAAAATCTTGATAGACTGCATATGTATTTTTTGAACAAATGACGTCTAGACAAAATGGGTCGAGGCAACTTCTTTTTGGATAGTAGAGAAACTAGGCATTGACATGAGATTAGAAAAGCAACATAAGAGACCTATTGGACTTACATAAAACGGCCACAGGAAACACCACATGACACAACACAGGACACACCACAGGATACACCACATGACAAAACAGAGGACACACCCATGGGCACACCACAGGACACACCACAGGACACACCCATGGACACACCACAAGACACACCACAGGACACACCACAGGACACACCACAGGAAACACCACATGACACAACAGAGGACACAACCATGGACACACCACAGGACACACCACAGGACACACCACAGGACACACCACAGGAAACACCACATGACACAACAGAGGACACACCCATGGACACACCACAGGACACACCACAGGACACACCACAGGACACACCACAGGAAACACCACATGACACAACAGAGGACACACCCATGGGCACACCACAGGACACACCACAGGACACACCCCAGGACACACCCATGGAAACAATCATGGACACACCAGAAGACACACAACAGAGGACACACCACAGGACACAATCATGGACACACCCATGGACACAATCATGAACACACTCATGGATACACCAGAAGACACACAACAGAGGACACACCCATGGACACACCACAGGACACACCCCAGGACACACTTATGGAAACAATCATGGACACACCAGAAGACATACAACAGAGGACACACCACAGGACACAATCACGGACACACCCATGGACACAATAATGGACACACTCATGGATACACCAGAAGACACACAACAGAGTACACACGACAGGACACAATAGAGGACACACCCCATGACCACACCCCAGGACACAATCATGGACACACCTGAAGATACACAACAAGACACAACAGAGGACACACCCACCTGGCATTGAATGTATTATTTGCATCAAGCCCGCCCTGTGAGTAGTTGAGAAGGTCATCTGGGGTCATCACTGATACCTTCTTATCTTCATCCTCTTTGATCTTCTGAAGGTCTTGATCGCTGACCAGAGATACTTTCTTGGTATCTGGATAAGAGATACAAACAATTTTTCAGGTCACAGAAGGCAACAGAATTAATTAACAAAATAATTATTTATTCTAAGCTTTCTTATTCATGACTAATAACAGATTTAAAAAGGTCATAGGGGACAGAAGAGCTATGGAAGTCAGATGAGAAAATGGCACATATGCTCTCATTGAAGCATACCAGGATTTATAATTAGAACACCAAAATCTACATTTTTTTTTGTCGAAACAGTTCATTGGTAAAAGCAGTGAGTTTAAAATCAGAAGGTACAGAGTTAAACCTTTGTCGACTTCCAGGACATGAGTTTCATGTCCAAACAGGTTCATCCCTAGTAATAACTTGAGCCTTGTCCATTGACAGCCAGAGGGTCTCTAATTCCATACATGTACAACAGGACAGAGCCATCTATACACAGAGATCGGCCAACCCGGTTCAAGCTAGACACAATATGGCAACTACTGCTTTGTTGGGCAAGCACAAAACAACAGAATATATGCCATGTTGTGACCCAGGGAGATCAAGTTGGCCAAACTCTGTATATAGATGGCTCTTCACAGGATATAGGTAACTGTCCTCATGGCCTTGAAAGTACAATATATATTTGCATACCCTCTGAGCAACCTTGGTACGGAATTGCTGATCTACCAAAGGCTGGAGGACGTGTTTCTTGACTTACTTGTTTTAGGTGTAGAATGTGCCTGCTCGTCGATCTGTTGTTCAAAGCGTTTCCACTTGTCTTTGAAGGCTAGCTTGGAGGGTTCCGAACCATCCGTGGCAGGCTTTAGAGAGAAAATGATCCATGAAACGTGTTACAAAGCGTGATTAACAACATGCATTACGCACAGTAGGAACATGGTTTGTATCCTATTTTGGTGAATTTAGCATGCATGGGTCCCACCTCTCAATAGCTAACATCACTTGTAATGTACCAGCCAATGGAAGTTTGAAAGCCAGTGTTGTTAACAATAATTGTCTAGAAACTTAAAATGGAAAATCCAAATACACATGAAAATACTCATAAATGTACTCATAAATACTCAAAAACAAGTTTTTATGCACAGTGCCTTTCCATTACAAAACCACAAGCTTACATGTGTTTGTGTTTTTGTAATGCTTATTTGTGATTTTCCTTCATAACTACCAAGTAAAACTTAGCTAGATGGGTCTCTGTAGCTCCCTTTACTCTGTCATTTTCATCAAAAATACAAAATAACAAATTTATGCAAAACCATGGCATGTGATGCAATAAAGCTGCTGCTGCTCTGCATATGCAGGCCATACACGTGTAAAAAAGCATTTTTATAGCACTTGTAATAATGCACTATTCATATGTGAACGGAATCATTGTGAAGATTGCGTTGGCAAGCACTTCATGGTGCAAGTGTCAAGTGGTACATATAAATATATATATATAGGTGATGACATTTTGCTGCTTTGTGAGACATTCTGAATTCTTGATGCACTTAGTGGTGAAAATCTTATTCAAATTAACAAAATGGTAGCAGCATATAACATTGAACAATGTTTTATTTCAAATAAATGGACACACCATGTTCACATAGATCATGAAAAGCTAAAAATACAGGTACTCAAATATGTCACACAGATAATAGATTTTCAAAAAGTATCAATTCATCAGGCTTCCGACAGTAGGGATCTAAAAACTGACCCCCCCCCCCCCTCCCCCATTCCCTTCTTCAAAACTCTGGATACATATTCCAATGGTCGAGGTTTTTGGCTTCACAATACCCCTTTCCCTCATACATGTTATAATGACCGGAGAATATTTGTTTACTATCTACTTGGTAATAGTACCTTTGGATCTTCAGGAGATGTAGGCTTGGAAATCAAATTTTCGACAAAGAAAGACAACTTCATTTTACATGAATATAAAGAAAAGAATACACATGCTATGAAGTAGCATAAACATGTATCAATGATGTGAATATTGCACACACACACACTAAAAAAAAGAATCATAATGCTAAAAATAAAGATGAACTAATACATACAATCAAATTTCATAAAGATATCAATTTAATCTATTAACTCATGTGTTACACTAGGCTTCTGACAGTAGGGATCTCAAAATGGAATCCCCCCCCCCCCCCCCCCTCATACCCTAAGGACTACAAAGCTCTAGAACCATATTCCAATCTCTGAGGTTTTTGGCATCACAACACCCCTTTCCCACATACATTTAATAAAAAATACTTCAGGATATTTTTTTTTACTATCTACTTGGCAATAGTACCTTTGGATCTTCGGGAGGTGTAGGCTTGAAATCAAATTTTTGGACAAAGAAAGACAAGATCATTTCACATTACAACAAAATACACATGCTATGAAGTAGCATACCGGTATACATGTACCAATGATGTAAATATCGAAAAATAATTATAATGCTAAAATCAAAGTTGAACTATAACACACAGTCAAAGTCATTTACAAACTTAAAATTAAAGACGTTTAAGCAACAATTAAATTAATATTCTTAACTTTATGAAAAGATGAAACTAAACATTTTGAGTAGAACAAAATTATAATGTTACACTAAAATCATTTAATCAATTTCAAGAGAGAAGAAAGATTTCTACATATTTACAGTGCGTAAATGTCGCAATATACAATGATACACAAGATATCATGCTTTGAAATATATCATAAAATTTTCATTTACTAAATGAATGCAAGTGAAGGGCACAGTAACTCAGAAAAATGAACTTGAAAGTAGAGAATTTTAATACAAATACTTAAGGATAATCAAAGTGTCTAAAAAAAATTAAAGACATTACAACTTGCTATAAATGATCACAATAGTTAATAATTAAAGAAAAGGCTTTGAAAAGTAAAATACAAAACTAAGTTATAGAAAAAGTTTGAAAGTAGGGAATAGGCCAAGTTTGCACAAAAGAGTAATAATTGAATGCCACAGTTAAATGCAATCAACTGCATCTTACAATCAACTGAAGCTATGATTTGATTGCAACCTGCAACCATATACACTGTAACAGACAATCTATTGCAAATTTCTGTTATCCAATTGGGATGTAAATTTTGGCTGTATCAAAAGTGACCCAATAAATCAAGCCCATTCTCTTTGATAAATTCTGGCTCTTTGTGCAAACGGGCCCTATTTCGAAACAAAATTAAATAAATAGCATAAAGAGGAAGAAATCTAGAATACTGATTCATCACAAATTCACTAGGTATACTTAATGAGTGAATGAAATGTCCCATCAATGATGGTAGAACACAATGACATATGTCTGGGAGGCATTGGCTCTGATGACAATTACTCCAGGCTTTATTTCATCACAGACTTAGGGTTAGAGGTTGGGTTATGATAGGGTTTAAGGTTATGTTTTAAGGACAGGGTTGGGGTTGGGTGTTATCATGCATTCTGGATTAAAAAGTTAGGAATCTTGTTTAATGGTAGATATCAACTGTGGAGCGATTGTCAGCAGAGCACAAGTTGTACGATCCCTGATAGTACATGTTACTGTAGTGGTGCAGTACCTTAAGGGGAATTCTGTGAAATGTGTCCTGTACAACATGTATCTTTATTCATTAATTTCATCCCAAAATGAAAAACAAATTAATGACAAAAGCACTGGATAAGGGTGGTGGTACCACAAAGAACCATTGGTCAATGGTCATATGGTCATACCTTGAGATTTTTTATTTTCGGATCAAATACATGGATAAAGACCGATGTCTTACAGCTCATGTTTCATAGAATTGCCCCTCAGCAACAAACAGATGTCATACAGCAAGGAAGGGATGTAAAGGTAATGATGGATGATGATGATGGGTGACAATGATAGAGGATTATGATGATACACTGAATGATGACAAGGGTTATCATGATCAAATGGAAAAGTATGTAAAAAATGATCTAATGAAATGAAGATAACTATGATAATAAACTAAAAAGAGAGATATCAGGCTAAAACTTGATTTGCTGAAAGCTTGGCATCTCTGATAATCAGTAACTACACGCACAGATATAGAACAATTCTGGCAACCTATTAGTGGTTTTGAGTTGATGTGTCACCAAGGGTAGAAGAATGACAACTCGATTCTGAAATTGTCATTGGGTTACAGAGGATACCACACAAATCATTAGAAATTATACACTCAAAATGCAAGGTTAAAAGAAATCTGTATCGATGAAGCCTTTAAATAGCGAGGTTTCTTTGGCTTCCTCTCACTTCTGATAAAATGATGGGGAATTTCATTACAAAATATCAGATTGAGAAAATAAAAGTATGAAATATTCTGTTAGAACAGGTAGGGAGGTAATCATATAAAAGGGGGTGTAGACAGGTATGGGAGATAACTAAAGGTCAATGCAAAAGAAAAGGTATCCCAGATACAGCCAAATACACCACAGGCTTCTTGGATTGACTATGAAAAGGCTCCATGGGGGTGTTTCACAAAGATCCTAAGTAGAACTTAACACTAAGTTGGACTTAAAAGTTATGGACAGCCATTGGAGCCTTAAAACGAAATATATTCAAAAGCAGAAATTCAAGTATTTTAGACTTTTTATAAATTCCACATCCAGAACATGAACTCTCCTTGATGATAGAAAATATGAATGATTTGAATCAACATTTTATGCCTTTCAAAATAACTTTTACAAAATATTTTCAAAGATGCTAATGGCTTTCCATAATTTTTAAGTCCAACTTAGAGATAAGTTCAACTTAGAATCTTTGTGAAACACCCCCCATGTCTGGTACATTAAAATAAATACATCGAGTGCAAGCTATTGTAATACAGAAAGATGTCAAATCAAAGACAGTGTGCCGATATTATTTAGAAGGATACTACATATGGGAGGTGAAGGGGTAGAACTACAGGAAAGAGTGTGCTCCAAGTACAGATATAACATAATGTGCCATCAAATAATAGGCTTAATACTGATATTCACTCAAGATAATGTCATCTGTTTGGAGCCAGAAGGGCATCTAGTCGTATCATTTTAGACAGCGTTAATGCCCTCCTGGCTCCACAAAGACGATATTACAGATAATTGTAGAATCATATCCAAATGAAAATGAAAAAAGAAAGTGTTTTCGTGGAACCAATGGCCAAAGGCAGAATTCAGAATAGAAAATACAAAGTGATTTGTGCCAAGGAAAGTTTGTGTAATTTCATAATATTTGTAATTATCTTTGTAAAATCACATTCAGTGTAAGTAATATTGATGTTTCCCCTTATTTTAAGATTTTACATTCAGGCAAGCTGGTTATCCACGAGAACAGAAAATAGAAATAATTGAGCATACTCAGAAAGGAGTAGGTGTTGTTCACAAGGTAAAAAAATCAAATCAATTACATTTACACATCACTGCTAGGTAGAAGGAAAAGAAATCATATGATTCTTGAACAAACTATGTGGTTCTACAGAAAGATGAAATCAAATGACATCTGTGTACGGGTGAACTGAAGATGTGGTAGACCTGAAATACTGGTTGGACTTGTGGCTACAGCACGACAGCTACAACACTCTGGATGATCATATTAAGGCAAGCAAATACGGAGGATGATAATATAAGAGTCTGAATGAAGGGTTGCACAGAGAGGACAGGCATGATGCTGGTGAGACAAGAGAAAGAGACACTGACGATGCCAATACTGTTCTTTGGACTAAAATAGGATACCTCAGGCTCTGGTGAGAGGGGAGACTTTACAGGGCTGAAGGAAGGCGGTGAGCTCGAGACAGGTGGTGGAGGCGACACAACTTTCTGTACAGACTTGGCCTTTGATACAACCTTCTGAGAAGACAGCAGCTGGGTCAGGGTTTTTGTCTTCACTTCAGGTGCAGCCGGCTTTTGTTGCTGCTGTTGTTGTTGAAAGAATGGATTGGACTGGAAGCGGCTTGTGTCGCGACCCTTAATCCTGTTAAATTTTAGGACTTCCGATCGAGCTTCTAAAAGTGCTTTAGCTCTTGCTATTTCTTCATCATCTGAAGAAGAAGGGTCTTCACTAGGGGATTTTGGTGAAAGTGGTTGGAACTTTGGTGAAAGTGGTTGGCTCTTAGGAGGAATGTCTGGGTAGTGTTTCGGCTTTGGAGGAGTAACTGGACTTTTAATTGGTGAAATAATAACTTTGTGTTTAGGCCTTATGTCTGTATAAGTGACAGGACTTGTAGTTTCCTTGAAAGGATTAGGCTTTGCAGCAGGATTTCGGAATGGGTTGGGCTTGTCAGAGGGCTCTGGGGATGTCACACGATGAGGACTTGAAGGATTGTCTGATGGAGAAGGATTTGGTTGAATACCCTGTGAGTGAGGATTGGAACTTGCTTGTGCCCCCTCTTCCTTTGGATGGGGTTCTATGGGATTCCCAGGATTGTGGTCTTTAGGGTTTCCCGGATTGTGGTCTTTAGGGTTTCCCGGATTGTGGTCTTTTGGGCTTCCAGGATTGCTGACTTTGGGGTTCCCAGGATTGTGGCCACTGGGATTTCCAGGATTGTGGCCACTGGGATTCCCAGGATTGTGGCCAATTGGATTGTCAATGTTGTGATCTTTGGGATTTCCAGGATTGTGGCCACTGGGATTTCCGAGATTGTGGCCACTGGGATTCCCAGGATTGTGGCCAATTGGATTTCCGGGATTGTGGCCCCCGGGATTTCCAGGATTGTGACCACTGAGATTACCAGGATTGTGGCCACTGGGATTTCCAGGATTGTGGCCACTTGGATCTCCAGGATTGTGGCCCCCGGGATTTCCAGGATTGTGGCCGCTTGGATTTCCAGGATTATGGCCACTGGGATTGTGGCCACTGGGATTGTGGCCACTGGGATTACCAGGATTGTGGCCAGCGGGATTGTGGCCACTGGGATTTCCGGGATTGTGGCCCCCGGGATTTCCAGGATTGTGGCCACTTGGATTTCCAGGATTGTGGCCACTGGGATTTCCGGGATTGCATTCTTCAGGACTAACCGGATTATGTTGCTCATGGGACAAAGGGTTCTGTTGCGGATGAGGATTTTCTCTTCCTGTAAAAGAACATGCCCCTTGCAGGGGATATCCCGGATTGTGCCCACCTGGATTATGCGGATTATGCTCTACGGTTTCAGGGCAGTGCTCAGGGGTACCAGGGTTGTGTCCACTGGGATTACGATGTCTAGGATTTTCATGAGAAGGCCCAGGATTGTGATAGGAAGGGTGTGGGTTTCCTCCTATCTCTAGAGGGGTAACGCTTTCCTCCTTCTTCCCCTCTTGATGCAACTTTTCCCCAAATGGATCTGGAGCAAAAATTTCTACAGATGAAGGGTCGTCAGTACGTTCTGTTACGTGAGGACTACAGCTTACACCCTCTGTTAGTGATTGGGAAATTCGAAAGCCACTTGTTGCATAAGTACTGGGCTCCATCTATAGTTTTACCATAGTTGCAGAGAGTACCGTATAAACGCCACACCAATATTGATGAACAATGGAGATTTGTTCATGATACATCCCATAGGATATATGTTTTTATAAGTAGTTGTTTACATTTTAGGGCGAAGAGTTAGATGTTGACCAGGGAAAATGGAAGAAAAAACAAAGCCATAGAGGAATGAAGAAAGGGAAGGAATGGGAGAGAGCAATTAGTCCATGAAATGTATTAGTGATAGTCAATAAAAAGGAGAACATGGGAACTGGTGACTCTAATATGGATACTGTATTAAAAGGTATGACAATATTATTTGAAAATCTTAAGTTAAAAGTACTGAGATACAAATGGTTTATAGAAATTTCAATTCAGTATCAGACAATTTCAAAATACAACACCCAACATTTCGCTCTGAAGCTGTCCATGTTTAGAGATATCAAAAATGGAAAGACAGATTCTCATCAACCTGCTTTAATATCACTTAGGACTTTTCACATGAGTTCTTCAAAGTACTAAAAGTATATTTGCCCCTAAGTTCTCAATATCTAGGGCTAAACACTTTGATGACAAATACATGTACTTTGCTATTACACTTTATTACCTGTGATATGTGTATTTCTATCTTTGGTATTTAATATGAATGACTTTCATTGTAAGAAAAAGGTGGAAAATTACACAAAAATTACACTTGCAAAAACATAAACCATCACTGATGGACAAATACACATTGCATGAGTGCATAAAAGGTACGATGCATAATAAGGCACTTTACAGCTGAAGTTCAATTTCATAAATAATTTCGTAAGTGTGTTATGTTAATCATAAATCGTCTGCAGAAAGGTACAAGGGCTTAAATCATTCAATACCCTTCTAACTCTTAGAAGACAATCCAGTGATCATAACGGTGTAGATCCCTTCAAATGCAGTTTGTTCAAACATTTTCTTACAGATAGGCATATTGCTGATCATTCAAGGTGATATCAACAGCCTCAAACCAGTTTAAAGTATGTGTGTGCAGAACACCCTCACAAAAAATAAATAATAAAAATAATAATAATATATATATATATTTTTTTAAATCAATTAATGAGACTGGAAAAGTCTCATTGATTATAAAGAACAAAAGTACAGATCATTCCTGCAAATTCTAAGTCATGTCTTTTTAATTTTTTTTTTACTGTAACAGATATAGGAAACAAGCTATAACAAGAGCCTGGTGGCAAAAAATACTCCTTTAACACATCAAATACTGCTTATTCTCTGATGGGCATTGTTTTCCAATATTATCTCTTTTCAAGATAGCCATGGCAATGATGCAATGAGGCACTGAATGAATGTGTATGGATGGATACCTACAATCTACCTCAAGATCAAATGTGCAATTATGCAAACCCATGGAATGAATGATTTAAAGAGAATATATGTCACCAGATTGAACATGGGTTCAGATTTCAGAAAAGATAATGCTGTTCTTTCTTTGTTCATTATAACAGAAATAACTCATATTAATATTATTCTGTAACTAGGCATCCAATTCCAACACAGAGGGTATACATGTAGGTTGGGCTTGTTGGCAAAACTGTTAGGGAAACACACAACTTTCCCTGGTCATTTTCACAATTCTGAGTGGAAATTCCCCCATCCTAAATTTCTGAAAGGGTAAGGATCTGGATATTATTAGGACCTACATGTATTGAACAGAGCTCTTCTAACCTGTATTGGGAGGCTACGCAAAAGCCCCCCCCCCCCCCCACTCGGTGTTATTTAGGGTACGCATATGCATGTTCCAAGCAACCCCCCACCCCACCCCCCTTTCAGCAAAAGTCCGGTGTGTAAAGTCAATACGGGTAGACCTTTTTCTTTTGTTACGAGCCGGAGGTTTTGGGAACATGCATGGTATCCCTCCGTTAGATGGAGTAGGGGGCCCGGGCGCTAAAGTACCCAAGGCTGTTATTAGAATGTAAAAGCAATATTGAAAAACAGCTGTCTATTTAAAGGGAGTGATAGATTAAGGAACATCGATTATCATCTAACTGGGTATGAGCTTAGAGAAAAGGATAAATGTATTTCACTCTGTAACTGAACAAACTTCAGAATGAGAATGAAAAAGGTGAATCATTACACCATGAAATAAATGACAGCTGGCATACAAATGTGGCAAGCCCTCCTTAAGAATAACTGAGAATAACGTAATAATGTATAGCAGAGTATGCAGGAAGAAATAAAGCCTCTAAATCATCAAGCATTTTCATGAAAGTCATAGGCAAAGTACATCATAGTGATGCCCAGTGTACATGTGTGTATGTAAACATGCAAATCCCTTTCTCAAACTTATAACCATCTACAAACCAAGTAATTATGGAGTGTGAGTGATGTGAAAATAAATATAGAGAATATATATGTTTTCTTGCAACATTCCAAAATGCAGCATGCAACTTCACAAGTGTGTCCTATTCTTTGGCTTGACCAATCCCGGTATTAAACTGAAACTGCACAAATGCTGTGAAAATATGTTACCCTGTCATTACAAAGGATTTTACTTCATTTATTAAATGGGAAGCATTTAATCCATGGTTTTTCTAATCTGAATTATGTGCCTGTTTGCAAAGACCAAACCAAAAACTGTGAGTATAATCATGAATAACCTGCTGTTTCAACATGTAGTATATTACTGCATCATTAGCATCATATTGTTTCTGAAATCATTTTAAAAAAATGTAATTTCAATTCTGATTTTTTTAAATATTTTTATAGCTATCGCTGTTACTGGAACTATGGGTGAAATAATCAACATTAGACTTTCATTTGTATTTTGAAATCATTGTAATTTCCTTTGTTGAAAAAATGAATAATTATTATAGACTTCATAAACTATAAGTCAGTCATTATTGTTAGATAAATCCTGATTTAAAACTACTAGGAACATCAAACATATCAGTTAAAATTGTAACTTTACTATTGAAAGACAGAGTTTAATATCTATTATTAGCACTACTACAAATGTTAAACATATCTTTTAAAACTAGACCTTACAATATTAAAACAGAGTTTATATGTTTATCTTTAGAGTTGCTAGAAACATCAAACATTTCTGTTGAAATAAAACTAAACAGTTCTAAAAGTTATTTAGAATTAATTTAATAATTAGACCTTTTAGGGGATCACATATTTGTTAAGACAAAAAATTATTATTTAAAATACATTTTAGGATTAATCTTGTATCATCAAAACTGCTAAGAACGTCAAACTATCAGATGAAAGCAACACTAAATACTTCTTAACAGGGTCAATGTTTGCAAGTACATAGTCATCACTCGGAAGGTTAAATGCTAAAACAAGTGCAAGCACATGCAACAGACAGTCCACGTTGAATTAATGATACAAGCCTTTTTAAATACACCACACAAAACAAAATACATGGGACCATGCCATTCAAACGGTGGTGGTAGGGAGGGTGAACTCAAGCTGCAATTTTAGAGGAGGGTGTGGGGGGTACTCTACCTCTGGAGACCCGGGTGGGGTCGAAACGCTTGAGGAACGGGAGGTCGTGCTGCTCGTACTCAAGTTTCGTAGGCCACGGGGCCGGGGGGCCACCGGGGGCGGTGCCTTTTTCCTTGGCTGCTTTGGAAATTTGTGGCAATTAAGTGAGGAGGTCGTTAGGGAGGTACAATTCAGCAGTTGGACAAGGGGTAATCGGACGATCTATTTGACTATTTTCTACGCATGACTACATTTTTGTTCTTATTTCATGGAAATATCATAAGTCAAGTTTATGTACAATACGATATCAAAGGATTCATTTATATATTCATTTAGAATTATACTCAGTAATTATGCAGGATGGCCTTATCAATGGTGCAAAGGGGGATTTTTTCAATTTCTTCAAAAGTTACATCATACATGATTGCTTTTGGTCATGAGTCATGACATTGGTTTTGCATTGGACTCTTTTTAATTTGACTTTCATTTTGCTTCAAAGATTAATTTCATTACTTTGTACTCATCAGTTTCAGGGTTCCGTTTTTCTTATTTTCTTTTTTCTGTTCTGTTTTCCAGAATGGTGACTTTTGTGTTTACCATTTTGATTAAAAGTATATTTCCTCCTTTCAAAGGCTATCTACAGCACAGAGCTTGAGAGCTGTCTTGTTGGGAACAGTTAACATTTGCCTCATGCAAATACAGCTGGTTTAGAAAAAAGAAACATTTGTTTATAATTAAACAATATCCATGCAAATAATAGTAGAATACAGCAAGTATGTGTAAGTGTAAGATTATATCATAATGTCTCGCAGTTACTTAACAGCACAGCAAAAAGTAAAGAGATGGGAGCAAAATAATGGCTAATGGCTAATTTTCATTCAAACAGCTGCTCATGCATAAAATAATACTGAACATGCAAAAATACTATGAAAATATGAAAAATTTCACTATGCAAAATACTACTTTTTGCCCAAATTTGCTATTTGCTACCCTAAACCCAACCCCAAATTCAAGTCAGTTCATTATAATACACCTTTCACCAACATTTGGTTCAATTAATCAAATTGATTTCAAAGGATGAAGAAAAGAACAAATGTGCTATCTCTAACAAAGAAATATCTTGATCTGCAGAAAAACAAACGATGTAAAATTCTACACTGGAAAAAATATGGCAGCCATAAAGAAAAGTAGCTTAAAATTTGCTATTTGAAATGTGCTTGAAATAAAAGGCAAAGTATTTGCAAAGGTCATGGGAGACAGATTTTTAGGAAGGAACACTCTTTCTGTTATTCCACAATTTTGAACCTCACTTTGATGTAAGTTCAATTCCCATAATTGTTATAATCACTGGGTGTTTGTTTTTCTTTTCCTTATTCTTACTTATAAAATAAAGATGGAACTAATGTTGTGATATGCTAAATGATAATTCAGCTAAAATGAGTTCAGTGGAATATCTAAATGATTTGAAAGACTGCCAGAGCGCAAACTCTATGAACAGCTTAACATTTTCAGTCCAAATAAAACGGCTGAAGTAGTTAATTTATTGGAAAAAATTTGTACCATATTGTACATGTTTCAAACTGTCTCAATTACATAATACTTAAAGGACACCATACACTGGTGGTTGTATATTCAATTACATCATCATCAATGTCCATTAGATAAAGTATACATCCATGTTCATATAAGTAGTTATGTGTACCTACACCTAGGCACACATACATATACATTTTATGAATTATATATGCATCAGTTACATATTACATCTTACTTTTACACATCAGGAATAGTTGAAGAAAAAACCTCAATTTTCCTCTCAATTGTTATACATGTTCTATTATATTTCTTTCTTTTGGCGTTGAGGGGGGTAAAACTGGACGGAAAATCTCACCTTTGCTTGTGGAAGGGGTAGATCATCATCATCATCATCTGCCGTTCCATTCTCTGTTGTTACAGCCTGCTGTTTGGACTATAATAATAATGCATTGCAAATATAAACAAGACAAATGAATGCAAGAAAAAAACGTGCAGAGAGATCAGTAGAAACATCAATATCAGACGTAGATTGGAAGTAATAGTAGGGAGAAGAAGATATCACAGGTTAACATTGGTTCACGTAGCTAAGGGAGAATATAAATAAAAGTTAATCATAAATTCAAGAAATTTTGTCATTTCTTGTGTCATACACATGCTTTTCCACGAATTGTCGTATTATGAATATAGACTTACACTTTGGAAGTATCATATCACCTGATATTTAGTTTGATCCAAGCTTTTGTACGAGTAAAATAATCGGATATACTCAATTTCAAAATGGCTAGTAACCTATGGGTCAAGATAGATTGGACTTTCCAAGATATGTATGTTTATATTTGAAGAGAATGCAAATATAATACACAGTGGATTACTTTTCCCCTGTTAATACAAAAACATGTACCAACAATTAAAATAAATTGTAATACACAAAGTTGTTATAATTCAAAATTCTAGGCTAGCGTGTTAATAGCAAAACTATTCAAATCAAACAAATGACGAGCTAAAAAGAAAAATACAACACAACATCTGACTATAGTTTAGCTTGAAAATGTGTTAAAGATGTGAGTGAGTGTCAGTCCACATGCCTTCTATCATCTAGATTCTACAAGACCATTCCACTATATGAAAATGAGTTTGTTAGAGAGGGAGTAATAGTTGTTAGTCATATAACATGTGTGGGTATGTAAAAGAATATTAGTTGCGATAATACACCAGGGAAAGATTTAAATTCTTATATTTCACCCTTGTTATGACCATACCCCTCCACCTAATAAATACTATGATATACCCCTTAAGAGCTTGATATAAGCTCTACTGCAGTATTCAAAATGCATTGGAAACTTCCCTGCCACCAAAATTAATTTTCATGGTTAGCAACAAAAAGATACAAATCAATTAAAGATTCATGTCAAATAGCATTGAGGAACTGTTTTCCCACTTCAAAAACCTCAAAGTTTGTTAAAGTTTCAAAGTCAATCTGTTAAAGGAAAAATAGCCCGTACCAAAAGCATCATTGGAAAACAAGGGGGTTAAAAAGGAGAAAGGGCACTGCACAGCAAACTGATGGTGTCTTCAATGGAACAGACTGTTTTTCCTCCTCTTTTTTTTTTTTTTTTTTTGCTATCTTTTTTTTCAAACTCACATTGATTTCAATCTCTGTGTCAACCCTCAGTGGGATCAACTCTTCTTCCATCTGAAAATCTTCATTTATCAAATCTTCTTCAGACGGACTCCTGAGGCGGGGCAACGGGGCATCCAGCTCGTCATCATCGGTCTCAACCTCCTGCTCCTGGGCGTGCATCATTTCTTGCCTAACCAGGGGAGGGGAGCGGCTACTAACGTTTCTCGTTATGATTTTTTGGAAGTTTTCCTGATCGCCGCGGGGGAAGGGAGGGGAGGGAGAGAGATGAAAGGAAGATCTAGAGAGAGCAGGCGACATGCAATGTGATTGCTAGTGTGATTTATGCTATCTGCTTTTTTAACTCCCTCATTTGATTTTTTATCTGTCCATTTTTCTCAAAGTTAAATTCAAGGTATTGACCAGCTTTTTAATTGCTTGCACATTCTATGAATGCCTTCGAAAAAGTATCATTAAACGAATGAAGGTCTTGTATACTGTACATTAGTCACACAGCCAAACAGACTCTTAACTGACCGACTCAAAACTGACCGATCCTTGACCTTTGGATGGAATCTAATATTTGTCCAGTCTGCTGTTGGTCTGGTGTTAGTTTCATCGGTCTGAAAGGGGAACCTTAGGAGGTGTCAATTGATAGTATCAAACTGACCGACTTTTGGATTGTTTTCAATAATCAAAAGCAGATTGCATGGTGTATCACACTGGCATGGTGATCATAATTGTGCATGACTTCCACAAAGACCAGGACCCGATTCACACTTGAGTAATCACAACTGTCATTCCAGTGTGATGGTTACTGTACCTTCAAACTTTCCCTCCACACTTTGCTGCGTTCAAACTTTGCTGCAAATCATTTCACTTCAAACCGAACTTCAAATTGAAATACAAAATGTACTTTATCTCGCTGTGGCAAAGTTAAAGCATCAAAGAGCATTATCACAGTGTTGATTTGGTATTGAGCTAAATTTTTGTGTTCTGGAAATAAATTGTGCCTGTTTGAAACAAAGGCCTAGTTTCTCTTGAGATGCAGTTCCGTCATCACAACTCAAGATGGGCTTTCTGCTGCTATTCCGCAAGACTACCTACTAGAGGTGGACCAGCAGAAGGCACCCTGACGCGGTAGTGTTTCCTTACTTTATAGAGAGATTGCTCTCATGAGGGACAATCAAGATACAAGTGCTCTCATTTGGCAAGTGTGAATTGGGTCTGTGTCAAATTACTCTTATACATTCCAAGATAAACCCATTAAACCCAAACTTATACATTTAATTAATAAATCCATTAAAACGATATGCATCATATAAATAATTCTCTTAATCATCATTAAAATTAAGTGATAGTCCAACCCAATTTATTCATGAATAATTTCTCAAACTGTCATTTTTTTTCTCAATTATATCGAGGGATTCAAAAGGAGATATACATGTATGCGGTTCAATTGGGTTATAGACATGGGTGTATTACATATGAAATATGGATGATGGCATATCAAAAATTCATTCTTCAATGAAATATAATATATGATGTTAGTTACTCCCCTATAGAATTCCATATAAATGCACCAAAAAAAAATTGAGTTGTCATGAAATAAATAACAAAACATCAGCATTGCATTCAATCCCCTTTTTTATATGAATAAATAAAACTTCATTTAAAACCCACTTCTCAACAATGAAAATATGATAGATGGCATGTATATGCTACTGTGCATAAACAATGAGCTCCACTGGAATACACATGCTCAGTAGTGTGTTAGTACACAGGCTATGAATACAGGCACATACATGTAACATGAAAACATACAGCAATTTGTACGTTTTCCATAAATATCTTTTAATGTAATGCAATGTAAATGTTCGAGAACTTTTAATTATATAATAGCTATATGACTTATATTTTTAAGGTCTTCCGCCAGTCTTCTTCTTACCAAGTAATTCTGCAATGGATAGCAAAAACATTTTAATCGGTACTACCGTATTTATCACTACACTTGCTTTGAAAAGATTTGCTGACGACTGATTTCTTACCTCGTTTTCCTCTGTTAATCTTCTTGTTTCTTCCTCTCGTTGTCTCCTCATCTCTTCCTAATAATATCAATTTCAATACAGAAGAAGAAAAATATAAGGGGGATCGGGGAAAGGGCAAAAATAGAAGAAACAAACAAGAAAGAGATAATTAAAATAAGGTCGTAGAAATATGGATATTGGTAGGTCACTTGGTTAGACAGAAAACAACAAATATACTAAAGTGTATCAACATTCAACACACACGTGGAGAAAACAAAGTAGCACAATGATATTATTACAATACACACAACAACTTTTTCTCATATATATTCTTAACTCTCTTCCTTCCATTTCTTTCTTTCATTTCTAATTTAATTTATCAATTGATCCATTCTTCCCCTCTTTCTTTATTCTGATCTCCATGGATTTATTTCTCATCTTCACCATGGGCCATTTCTTTTCCATTTACCTATATTCATCATTATGAAAACTTCCCACTTTCACAAGATATGAAAAATTACCATTATCTAAATATCAACCATTAGTCACCTGACATAGTGTATTAATTGTACTTACAGTATACTCAATAACCATAATACCATACAACTGTTAAAATAGTGAACAATTTGTTTTCCTTTTTTTCTTTGTGTCAACAAAGATGAAATGTGACAGTAAAAATATAATTATACACAGTGAGTGCTCCAAAAAATAGTGAAATATATAGGTTGTGATTGGAAATACTGGTAGTTGTTTGGAAAGAGTAGTGAGAAAAAAATAATGAAGCATGAGAAGAGAGTGAATAACAATAAGGAATGGGTGTGGTCAAATAATAAACCAATCACAAAACAACGTCAAAGTGAAATCATAACAAACCAACAAAATAAATAAATAAATAAACAAATAAAAAGTTATGGATATTCATTAGAGGCTGTTTTCATACTATCAGTTTGTAGAATGAATATATGCAAGAGTACATGTACATGTATGTATGTTTGATGGTGCATGTAGATGGAAGGAAATCAAATTGGAACTTGTGTATACAAATATGAATATGCATGAGAATTATGTAAATTATATCAGGTGCAGGTGGCATCATGAATATGCATGACAGTTACGAGGATCAACTTGAGAGATTTTGACTTTGGAAATTGATATTATCATGAATATCACACAGAGTGTGAAATGGGTGTCCTTATTAACTTCAGAAATTAATTTAATGCACACAATGAACTTTCACTTACCATTGTTTTGTAATAAATATGATTGCAAATGATTTGCTGGCAAATTTATAAAGTGAAAAATAGAATATACAGTTGATTAATGTACATTTGGCATAACCTCACGATATCAATCGATTTTCAGAGTTTGCAGAATATATGACAATTTTGACTTGGTTATGCAATGCAGGAATAGCACTGGTATTAAATCACAATGATAGTTCCTTACGAGGGTTACCCCTTTTTTTCTCTCTCTTTTTATCCCTCCCAGTATATTTTCACCAAGAATTAGAGACTCCCAAATGAGCGATGAAATGTGTTTTCATCTGAAATGCTATTTCATACTGTAGGGTCAGAAAAAGTGTTTTGATTATTTTGTCATTTGAGCCAGTAAGAAGTTCATCCTGCGTAAAATGATGTGAGCTGCATGTAATGCCCTTCATGCTCTCAACAGACGATTAATGTTAATGGAATGATTGTAACACAGAATACTAATTGTTCTGAATTAAATAATCAATATTTATCCTTACTGGCCTACAGATGTGCAATGTGCCATTTCTACAAGAGTAAGAAACTTCAAAAATATTTCTACTTGTGTACTCTTATGACTAAACAAAAAGATCGGTGAGAAGACAGTATATGTTCTGTTTTTTTAGTGATATTTTTCAAAGATATTACTTGCACAGAATATTGCACTATTGTACACGTGAAGAACATTTGGTGTATGATCCATATGTTTATCATGGTTTCAGCAGAAAACATAATTCAACTACCCAGTAGTTTAAAATGACATCACAATAATGATCTAAGCTGATCTACGTGTGTGTGCTTTTTGGTGCCACTTCTACAAACATAAGCTTTGCATGTATTTCAATTATATTTTATACTCTTACAAACAAGCTCTTACCCCCCCCCCCCCAAAAAAAAAAAGTTTTAAACTTGGCTGAGCATTTACTTAATATCTTTTAACTAATATTTTATCACGGTTTATATTTGTTCACGTAAATATATAAAAATCATATCTTTAAATTTGCATAATTCGCATGATTCTGACGCATGTATTATGAATACATTTACGTAATCAATATATATATGTATTTGATAATGAAAATATACTGTTAAAATAAGGGAGTTTAAGTGTTAAAACTTTGATGTACACTGTATGAGCAATGAATAGAATGGTTTTAGTAAAACAAAATAATTAACCAGTGAATAACATGACAATGTAAATCCAAGCTAATCTATGTGCTTTGATCGTGTATTACCTCTCTCCCGTCCTACAGTGGTGAGGGATGTAAAATGAAAATAAAACGGACATCAAGATATAAATAAAATGAATATAAATGAATGCTAACACACTAAGATGCTATGGGGAGGAGGAAAGGAAGGGTTACACACAACATGGAGGAGGGGGAGGGGAGAATGGGAATGCATTGTTGGCTGACTTTGCGGAAATGCTACAGACAATGATTTTTTTTTCTTTCTGAAACTCTATTGGTTTTTCTTTAACAAAACTTCTTGCACCTTGTTAAATTTATACCTGCAATAATCTGATCAATACCCTATCAAATTCAAATCTTATAAAATACTTTAGATAGAATAGATGACCATTTTTAATTTTTGTCGGTGTGCGTGGATGAAATGAATTCATGGTTGGCCATACTTTCCACAGACAAAAATGAAAGGGATACTAATATGAGTCATCTTCTAGTGAACAATTAAAATTAATTAATAATGTTTTGGTTTAAGCAAATATGGAATCTGTCAGACCCTCCAAGCACAAAGTGAAAAAGTCTCAGATCCTTGAATAATGTTTCTTCTGAGTTACTGTCTTTAAAAAAATAGCCAATCAAATTGAACTCTATTGCCCAAAAGGAAATGCACATTTATACAAATACAATATACACAGGCATACATAAACTTCTGCCTGTACCGGTAATTGTATATGTACACGTTAAAGCCATCCTATGAAGGAAAATTGACATGAAAAGCTGCACACATTATGCCTCATGTTGGAATGGAACATATGAAATGTAGGGAACATGTGACAGCCCACACATCATCTAGTGTTGGAATGGAACATACAGCTAACGAATGAATTATTCATACGCCTTGTTAATTTGATGTTTTTGTGTTTTGGGTAACTCAAGAACGAAAAGTGGAGTGGTTTAGTCAGTCCCTTTGTTGAATAGATTTCAGATTTAATATGTCATATTCTCAAGAAACATCAATTGGAACAACTCATTTTTTAACACACTTAAAAAATATTTAAAATTTGGCAAGGGTATGTATGAATAATTTAGTCGTTAACTGTATGAAGTGTAGGGAACACCATGGAACTGTACATAAAGCAGTCAGTTTTCTCTGTACAGGGTGCACAAATGCTCATGCTCCAAATGCTGCTCAAAAGACAGAATGCATCAAATGTCATTTTATCTCTCACTTTTTTGTCAAAGACATGCAATAATTCATGCGTACAATTACTCAAGAAAGAGATGCATAAACACTTTCAAGAATTGCAGGATAAAATAGTACATCTGTGTGAAACATTGTGGGTATATAACATCCATGCACTCACTAAATTCAACATGGTATGATAAACAGTACAATGTGACTTACTATACAAGAACATAAGATCTATTTTGCAGCCTATTAAACAAAATATCACATAAAAGTGACTTCAGAAAGTAAGAGATATCATATTTCTCTCTCTTCATCTCATTTGATATCCTAATCTTAAATGTCATCATTGTCTTTTTCTTCTTTCCTTTTTTTTTCTCTTTTTGGCCAAGTACCCTACCACGTCCCATCTTCCAAACGGTTGCTACTCACTCATATAGACTGATACTTGAAATCAATCACAACTTTGTACTACAGTAAAATAGTCTATAAGTTTACGATTGATTTGGGGACTTGCGACCAATCTGGATCAACCAATCACAAATCTTTATAACGCAGCCCACAGACTTTACACTAAAACAACACCCATACTATGCTGAGATGCATAATGATCGGATGAATGGGCACTGCAACTCTACAAGCCAGAAACATGATCTCTTTTTTTTTTAAAGACACACTGTACATGTGTAGCAAAGCCTTCTATGTTATGCATTTTATCACGTTGAGGAAAGACAATTTGTATTCTTTTTTTCTAACAATATGCCACAAATATACAAGTAGACAAACACACCAGTTGACAATGTATCAGGGATTTTCTAGTAGTAGCGTGTGGATAGATATTATACAGGGTGCTCAAAAAAAGTACCCCAGCTTCAAAGATTTAGTGTGGAAATACTATACTTTTTCACATTAAAAGGATATCATCTGAAAGCATAAAATGAATTGTATCTATGATATCACATTTTAATTACTAGGGTCATGCATCTATAAGTTTGATTGTCTTGAAAATGGTTCAAAAATGGCAGTAAGTTCATCTTTGATGTGGGATACATTTCTTTCTTGACACACCCTGTACCGGGTGAAGGTTATATTGGAATGGCATAGGGCTCACCAGTTTAGCTAATTCTTCTTCTTCAAATTCCTGGGCTTCTAACTGAAATTCAGCGTCCTAGACCCCCAGTGGAGGAAGAAGATAGAACGCAGACGGGAGGAGAGGAGAGGAGAGGAAGGGAAAGAAAAAGGGTGAAAACATGCCAGGAGAAAAGAAAAAGAGGTGTTAATCTTGTTATCGCTCTAGAGGGAAAAGATTTCTGGCACTGCCTGCACCTCGCATTCACAAGAAGTCTTAAACGTGTCAGAGAGAATTGAGCAGAGACAAGTATCATCTGGACATTGCTTTAAAACCCTTTAGCAACTAAACCGCCCAAAACCACCCCTCCTTTTACTCACTCAACCGCCCGTCCGTTTTCGGCCGTTATCAACGTGCTGTAGCATCCTTCTATGGGGCAGATCAATACTTTGACAATGTCACTTGCAAACATTTTTGTTACATTTTCTTTCAACCTTCAAGTCTTTCTATAGTTTTTTTTAATTATAATTTAAATAAACATAAGACTTGCTTCTGTCGTCCCAAGTGTACCAAATACATGTATACTACTGTGAACTTTATTTCCAAAACATTCATTCTCTATTATTTAGTATTTGAATATTTAGCACTATAAACTAAACTCATTCAAATAATTTACAACTAATTTAGATCATGGTTAGCTCTTTGAAAATCTAGTCAAAAATACATGTTATTTGTAAATAAGAGTGCCTAATATTTTTCTTTCCGTCTGTTCTTTTTAAAAGACGGTTCAAGCAAACAGTACAAAAGAAAACATAAAAGGGTGCCTCTACAAACTCAAACAATTTTCCTTAACCTACACATTTTTCCACAAACAATCTTGTCCTCTTTTCACTATAACTAGTGTTCATGCAACTCTATTAATTTATTTATTTTTCATTTCATTGGTTTTTAGGCAACTGATTACTTAACATCTTCCTTAGATGAAGGCAAAGAAGAACTGTAATTTTACGCCTTAGAAGCATTTCCTTCATTGACAATGAATGCTAATTGATAGAAAACATGTTAAACATGAAGTGTTATCAGTGCATCTTCAAATAAAAGACAATGTGCTCCATACATGTAGGTTCGGTTAAAATTCCCACACTATTCCTCAAACTACACATCACAATCAAAATATATAATCATCATCATTATTATCCGTTAAAATTGATTTCAAAGACTTTCAACAAATCAACCTCAGGCAATTTTTCAAAAACCTTGAGCCATCATCTTATGAATTTTGCAAACGATACAATGGCATCCACTACAAGTACATAATCCTGACATGATTTATGTAGGCAACACAATCGGTATTGAAACTACCTAAGACGTGATTTCTTGAAAGCCTTTGCGATTATGGAATTATCACATGAGTGATGATCAATGGACAAACCAACAAAACATATCGAGGGGTCAGTCACGCAAAGACGTAACTCCATTTTGGCCATTTTGAGGAAAAGTGGTTTATGTGTCACTAGCCATTGACTTCAATGGGGTGGTTGGGTGGAGTTAAGTCTTTGTGTTTTCTGGAAAGCCCACATTTTTCTGAACATTATGATATCAAATACTCATTTTGGCAAAATATGGAGTTACGTCTTTGTGTCACTGAACCCTCGATATCTACAATCCTTAGATGAGGGCGTGCACGATGAGGCTCTTACCTGGTTTAATCGATTGAGTTCCTCGGTGGTCATGTCCCTGTCGATGGAGGAGATGCTCTCCTGGCTGTTCCTCTTGCTGAGGTCCACCTGAGAGAGGGGGTTGCCAGCGCATCCCGGCCTGGACTGCCAGTAATCTACCTCACTGGGGTCAAAGCCATCACATACAAGGATGCCGAGCATGTCTCCGCATCCCCGGAGGGCCATGACAGCCTCTCGGTGCCGGGAACCTAACATGCTCTGGCTGTTCACCTGGTGGTAGTGGTGTGGTGGTGGTAGTGGTGGTGGTAGAGGTGGTGGTGATGGTGGTAAAGGTGGTGGTGGTGGTGGTGGTGGTGGTACAGAAGACAGAATCATAGATGTTGCAGGAAGGATGGAAATGGAGATGGAGGTGGAGGGGGGACAAACAAAGAGAAGAGGAGGTTTGAAAAGCAGATTGAATATTTAGGGTGGGGCGGGAGGAATGCAAATTGATGAAAGCAAAGCAGAACAGTGATAGAGGAAGGAACAGAGGATGAGAGGAGAGGTTTCAAGAGTAGATTTAGAGAGGTCAGGTTGTGGTTGGGTGGGGTAAGAGATGGATGTAGGAGAAGCAAAATTTTGAAAAGGGAACAGTGAAAATCAAGGAAGAAGTTGAGAGATGTAAGGAGAAGCCGAGTGGTGTAAAGAGTGTGCAGATAAAGAGAGATAAAAGGCAAATATCATTGGTTTATGAAGGGGAAGAGACGGAATGTTAGGATCAGAAAAAGTTCAAATATAGAAGGGTATTATTGTGAGAGGGACACAATATAAGAGGTTCATAATGGTGAGTGATATGAAAAATTATAAGGACATAAACGAGAAGTTGAGAGAAGTAAAAGGAAGGAATAAGTGTGATGTATCAGAATATTTGAAATTATTATAGGGAAAAGAGGATAGGAAAGAGGAAATAAGTCAGTATAATAAACAAATACATTCAAACAAAGACAAAAAGAAACAGGAAGGATAAGAAAAGACCACAACAAAACAAATAAACAAAGAAGAGGAGAAAATCAAAAAGAGAACAAAAAATAAGATTGATAAATAAAATATGAAATAGATGAAGAAACAAATTAAATTTAAGCTGTTTATTTCAATTTGGGTTGTGTTGACAAAGTATTGATAGTTTTTTTTCACATTTCAGACAAATAATAGATCATCTAAATTCAGGAAACCAAAGCTCGTTCAGATTTCAAACAAGACAACTTGGACAATTTGAATTTTCCAAATATGATTTTAGTCAACACAAACCACTTGAAAATACCATGTGAAGAGAAGGAAGTCGATAAAAATCATGAATACAATCTTTAACAGTGTTTAACATGCAAGAAGAAGCCAGTAAAATGTCTGCCTTGTCATGCTCTAATTGCTTCAAATCCTAGTTTCTCTCCTTATAAGCGATTCAAATTTCCTGCAAGATATCTCAGCCATTTCTAATCAGGCAATAGTTGGAAATTAAATTCAATTTAATTTAAGCACAAAAAACAGGAGAGGAAAAAAATTGTTTCTTTCGAAGCATCAAGTGCAACAAGCACATAATATCCAAGATGCCCATTCACTAAAGGTACTGAAATGGTTGGGTTGAAATGTATCGTCATGACAATGAAGTAGGGTCATGGACATCAATGGCCTTTGGATGATTAATCAATGAATATGAAGGATTCTGAAGGTCAAAGGTCATACCCTGATCAATGAATTCTAGTGATGCTACTCTAAGTTTTGGATAATGTACGAATGAGAAGTGTTTGATGTAATGATAATGAAGAAACTTAACCAAAATGACATTTACTCTTTTGAATCATATCATTACAAATCTGTAAAGTAAATAAACATACTGTTATCAAGTAGACGTTTGATTACTATAAACAATGATATAGAAAGAGAATATCAATGGTCGGCAAGTCATGGTTGAAAAAAGATGAGGACTTTTCTCACATATTTCCCAGATATCTACTGACGTAAGACCGATTACTAAAGAAAAATTAAGCCAAACCAATACAATTCATCCTAGGATTCTTTGTGTTACTTCTTCATCTACAAAAAAAATTCCATTATACACAGAAAGGCAATAATATCTAATAAGTGTTTATGATAAAGTGACAGTGTCCATAATTGTATTCATCTTCCAACATTGGGCTTGATTATGCTAAATAGATATTGGGACGGAATGAAAGATGTCTTCTTTCTTACCTCCAGGATTCTCTGGCCTACTCTTAACCTCCCATCACGGGCTGCAGCACCAACCTCATTGACCTGTGCAAGGAAGAGAGAAGGGGGATGAGGGTTGAAACAATTGGATAATGCTAAGAAATGTGGAATCTCTACAAAATCACACTCTTGTACCCTTCAGTTCTTTGCCACAATAATATAACTATCACTAATAAAACATCATTGACCTTTTATCCATTCACGTCCACAATCATAACCATCATTATATCATTACTATTGTTATCATCATCTTCATCATCATCACCCTCATTACTATGAATACCATCAATGTTATCAATATTACCATCACCATCATCACCGCTATAATTATCATCCTCATCATCACATAATCATCATCATCATCATCACCATCATCATTACTATAAACACCATCATCATCACTTTTACCATTAACATCATCACATAATCATCATCATCATCACCATCATTACTATAAACACCATCATCATCACTGTTCCCATTAACATCATCACCGCTATCATCATCATTCACATTATCATATAATCATCATCATCCTCACCATCTTTTCATCATGATCATCATCAAATCACCAACATTTTCATCATCATCATCACCATCATCATAAATCATTACTATCATCAACCCCATCATCACAAGCATCATAATCATTATCATCATCATCAACATCAATAACAACATCATCATAAGATGCAAGTAATATTTACCTTTGAGATGAATATTCCCTCATCACCTCGATCCAGGGGATTCCCCGGGTGACCTTTGTTCCCGCCCCTAATGCTGATACCTAACTTTTCGCCAGGAGCCTTGGGTACTTTGATTTCCTGAAGGGGATTAAAACAAAACTTAAGTTAGTACATTTCGTCAGTATTCAACCAGTACAATACCCCCTCTGGCAAACTGCTACAGATCTTTCACAAGACGATACCAAACTCAAATCAGGAGGAAATATAATTTGAACATGGTAATCACATCATCATTGCTGCATTGTGGGCCACAATTAGTGTCATAGATGATTCGCCCAAACAGTGACGACTCATTTTTGTTATTGCCTCGATTCTACACAAACTTGTTTTAGAAATACCTGAATACATACGACTTCAAACCATACATATGAAAGGTGAACAGAAGTGGATGGTAAATGGTGTAAATACTGGAGAAAGAAATTAAAGAAGGGTACACTGTACATACAGGAAGGGTTGACAACTACAGGCACATGTAGTCAAGTGGTTTAAGCACTTGACTTTTAATTTGAAGGTCGTGGTTCGATGTCCGGCAGGGCACTAATGTCTTTTGGCAAGGTAATTAATCTACATTTGCCACACTTGACCCTGGTGAGGGAAATGGGTACCTGGCAGGAATTAACTCCTTCAAATGCTAGAGTGTTGTAATTGCAGCTACGCTAAAGCTGGGGCAATAATTAACAAGTGCGCCTCGGAATAGAATTGTCTAGATAGATAGCGCTATATATATATAAATACCAATTATTATTATTATTAAGCAATGATGCAAGAAGTACTTACAATGAGTCCCTTAGGTGGAGGGTCATGCCTGACGACTAGCTGTATGTGTTCTGAGTTGGATAGGAGTGTGTTGACGGCAAACTGGTGGGTAGCACCCTTCATCTCCTTGTTGTTCACCACGAGAAGACGATCACCTACCCTCAGGTTGGTGCTGGCCGCTGAACCGTTGGGGACAATCTGCAAGACAGCGGGTTGGGTGTACGTGTTTTAAGATGGGTGTTTAGCATTTATGTTTTCAAAGGTCCCATGACACTAAACACTGTAGTTCATTATGAGTTAGTACATCAACAAATCATCAACTACACACACACACTCAAGAAAGAAAGATTACCGACAGTCCTTTTCAGGACTCCCCAATCCTCCCCCCTCTCACATGGTGCAACTGTAAGCCTACTGTAAATCATCAACTGTTTAATCTAAATAGGTATAATGACATATTTAAAAAATTCCCCCTATTTGTATGCAACATGCTTTATTCTACCCCATAATAAACCTCCTTCAACCATACTGTGCCTCTTGTGATATTAAAGCCTGCTAAAATAAACATAACAATTCACAGTTTTATGCATTTTACCATACCTTGGAACACTCACAAATCATAGCAATCTAAAAACCTTTCAAAAGACAACAGCCATTGCTATGTCAGACATAATATACTTTTACCTATAAAGATAGATGGTTTGAAAATGTTATAACACCATATTTAGTAAGAATGTCTTCTTGAGCAATATAAGAAGATGACTTAAAGCCTGTCCGTACTAGTTTGGCCAGGGGGGATTAGACCACCTGCAAGGTCACTGACAGGTGGTTATCCCATCAAATCAGCTCTCAATTAACATAACAAAAAGGGATCATTGGGAACCAACAGGCATCGATTAGGCATTGTTTGCTATATAGAGGGCGCAAGTACATGTAGCTATAAGTAATGCAGTGGAGCTTTAAAGAAGACCATTCTGACAATTTTTTTTTTTTTGTGAAGTCAAAATTCCATCTCACCTTTGAGATGAAGATGCCCGGCTCGTCACCTCCAAACGGATGACTGGAGTGATCTATGCCTCCGACTATACTCAGACCTAATGGACCTCGCGTTCTCTTCAGGAAGACTTCCTCGATCTCAAGCTCCTCGGGTGGTCCATTAGAGTTTGGCCCGTTCATCCGATACCGGAATTCTGGTGGGTCGTGTTCTATGAAGAGATGGGTACAGAAATAACTTAAATGTTATGGGGGACATGGTTAAAGGTAAAGACCAGTTTTGAAAACGCCCCCCTCTCAAAAATGAAATGGAAGCTCTTATTACCAATCATGTGAAAGAATATGTTTTGACTAATACGTGATGATAAAAATTGTGCTGAGAAACCGCCTACTAATTGATATATTTGGTAAATTATTATATCTATTTGGACCTGATAGATATCGCGCATGTGTCGCGAAGTCCCATATACATCTTTCTGTGCACAGTGCTTGTAACTTTACCAAGACTGGGGCAAATTTCTTATTATTTTGATGATTCCAGAACCTTGCAGTACACACCAATACTTATATGCTAGATGATCAACTTTTTCAGTCGATTCCACGTTCCTTTCACAATGCAATCGCACGACCGGAACTCAGCTTTATCTTTAAGAATGTGACTCTCTTCCTTTAACTGCAGACTCATCATCAGGGCTCTTGAAATGAAAAGTGTGATTTTGACTTACTGACTAATGGTTCATGGTGTTCAATCTCCATGGTTTCCCTCATAATGACCAGATCAATCTCTTTGCTCTTTGTCAACAGCGCCACCGCTGTCTCGTGCCTTGCCTCTGCCATCTCCACATTGTTGATCTGTTGACAAAAACATAACATAGGAATGAGCACGATTCAGGTCTGTACAGGGGCAGGGTTTGTGATGATCTTTAGAATGAATGGAAATACATCTTGAAAAAGTTATTAGTTTTTTTTAATACTTTAATTTCAAGTATAGGTTTACTGCCGGTAATGAAATCATTTGACGACAGAAATTCATCTTCACATTTTGCAGTGATTTATACCAGGGCCCCGTCTTACATAGAGTCGCGATTGTTCCAAATTAATCCCAATTCCTCCAATCAATTGCAAGTTTGCTGTCTCCTATTACTTATACTGTATACTTAGTTGGAATTGATATCAACTATTTGTAAGACAGGGCCCTGATACACATCATTTAAAGCATTTTCAGTGATTTTCAGTTAATTATTACAGATTTACTTTTGTGGTTTTTTTCTTCAATGTATCAGTATCAACCTTTGTTGTATAGGTACATTTGCATAAGCATTTACCACAGTCACACAGGCACACACATGGCAGAAATTAATCAACAAACAGAGGCAATAATCTCCCCTTGATATACTAAATGATCATTTTTGGCTAAAAAACTTACTCCAGTTTTTCCTAACATTGATATAAGACTTTCAATCAATCGAGATGTTGTCTAATATATATCTGTAAAGCACTTTGAGACGGCCTGCGGTCCTGAAAAGGGCTATATAAAAAAGAACTATTATTTTAATTATTAGTACCTTCAAGACCTTGTCACCAACTGACAGGGCCCCTGTCCTGTCAGCAGCACCACCTTCTGATATCCTGGAGATGAATATCGACTGGATAGAGAAAGAGGAAGAGGGTAAAATATGTGTTAAACATTCACTCACTTCATTCTGGATGGTACTACGACAGCTCATCCGTACCAAGGCATCTTTTCTGGAAACCATCATAATCTTAAGTTTGCCAACATCTCATTGAAATGCATTCCTTTTAAATATGCCAATTTCAATGGGATGTCGGCGGACTTGTATTTACGTCAGTTTGGCGAAACGCTGCCAAGGTGATCTAGAGCTTCCAATCCTATCCGAGGGGCTAGGTAGCAGAGGGTGAATCCCTTACTACCTCACGTCAAGGAATTAAAAGCAATTATAGTTCCCTTCTGAACCTGGAGGCCCTTGGTGAGGAGACCACTGCTCACAAACAAACGTTTCAGTTTACTGTCTATCTCAATATGAATACAGGTAAGTTAGAGACAATTGATGAGAAGGTATAAATGCTTAGGGAAAGCTTGGGGAATTCTGTTCTCTTGATATATGATGTATGAGAAGAATATAATATATAGAGGAAAAGCTGAGGCAAACTTTACAATTTCTGAAATTTGTCGATAAATATTTGTATGGCCAAGGAGGAAAGACAGTACCCGACATGGTTTCCAGGAATAAGTTAAGCAACCTTTTTTTTCCAATATATGGATGAAAACAATGGCTGCAGATTAATCATAGACACAAGCATTGGACAATACAGGGGTATATGCAGATGAATATTGATGGATATACCAGCAATTCAATTGAACTTGTTGTAATACCTACAAGTACATTGAAAATGGTAGACTGTAATATATATATATATATATATATATATATATATATATATATATGCTGTGATAATATCTGTAAAAGAATGCAACCTGAACATGAAATAGTCTTTAAAATCTTTAAATCTTTAAAGTCTCAACCTACATGGATGAATGAATAAATGACCTCAATAGATATGAAGGGAATCTCCCTTGTTTGTAATCATGTTTAAAACAAAAAAAAGTATGATAACAATCCTCAAATTTCACGTTTTCTTTCTCCTCTTTCATCATTTTTTTAATCTTTCTTTCTTGTTTTATATTCATTTTGAAACATTTTCTACAACTTACATCGTCTGTTCCCTTGAATGGAGGCGATCCTTTACCCCCAGCGATGCTGAAACCAAGGCCATTGCTATCCTTGACTAACTTTAGGGTTATCTTCTGCAGATTAAATAATCACAATAATAATAATAAAGTTGTTATGGTTTGTACTTCTCATATTGTAGACACTGTACATAGCTTGCAACTCAGAGAGTGAACAGATGTGAGAAAATTATAATTACCGGTACAGAGAAAAATGATTGAGCAATCTTTGGAGAAACTTCTAAATTTATGAATTTAAATGAGTAATAGTTAACTTGAAGTTTTAGAATAAGATTAGCAGTATTTAAAGTTATCTCCATCAGAATTATGGTTGCTACATGAACCAAACGAGGGTTGTTGTTTGGTGGTTGTATCATAGGGCTGAGCCCTGCTTCATTATCTTTTCACTTTTAAATTGGCAACAATATTTGTCATTTTCAAAGAGTAGTCACCTATAGAAATGAAAGTACTGGAATAGGAGAAAAAATGGACTATTGTGAAGAAACACTAATCAGTGTGAATATCAACAATAGATAATTAAAAAAAAAAAAATTCCTGAATTCCAAGCATAGAAAATGGGCCAAGTTATGCAGAAATATTTGCCTTTTTCTGCTCATGCATCTAGTTACTTTGAAACTGCTTTGTTATTCTTTCTTTCTTTGATGGAACTATTGCTTCTTAGTTTAAGCATACATGTACAAGACGTGCAGTGCAATATGCCATGATGACCCAGAACAAATTACACCACTAACGACAAGCAAACAAAGAAACTAGTTATTGCAATTTAGCAGGCACTTATACCAGATGGGTGAAATGTGAAGAGTAATCGATAGACGATTAAGATCCCTGAAATGAGATCAATCAATCTGTATTTCTCCTTCCTCATTTAACACGATCTTGTGATTTAAAGTTCAAGCAAAATGCAATTAATGCTGTTCTTATTTCTTAATACAACTTCATGCCTCATTTTACATGATGGAATACAGTACACATGATAGAGAAGACTAAAACTGCATGCAACATCATTAGCAAAACATTTAGGCTTCTCACATGCACAACTGTCAACACATTTTGTTTTTCTTTAGGAACACCCCAGTTGCACAGACATGAACAATTTGTAACAAGGCACTTAACAAAAATTTGTGCATTAAATTTGATTATGTTGCGAAAATGGCCTGTTCAAGGTTATATCTCTATCACTCAAGAGAATGATATTCGGACCAGTATAGCAGGCAATCTGTATTCCAAGAGGATCTTCCTTCATCGTAACAACCCCATAATTACTTTCACATTGTGACCACATGATCATTGAAGTTTAAGGACGATCTACAGTAATGTTGGTGTGCAAATTAGCTGAGTAGGGCAAGCTGATCATGTACATGTATTCACACCATGCACAATACCAGGAACTCCAGGTATTTTGCCTGGTGAATTCATAACCAGCTGGCCCTGCACAGCCAAGGTGTGCCTGAACATTACTGTGGAACATCCTTAAGTTGTTTGTTGATGAACAGATGAATCAATAAGCAGATGAATAGTTAATTATGTTGTTACATGAAAATGAAGATTAGTCTCATGAAAGGCTTATGATACAGATTTTATGTAAATATTGTTTTTAAGGATTAGCCTAAGATTGGTTTCTTCAACACTGAAATTCACCATTGGTATACCAACAATGTATTATGGAATCATACTTAACAATCCTTTTACAGATAATTGTATGAGAAAACACATGAGAATTGTGTACGTCTTTATGACAAGAAGGGAAAAGCTTTTAAATGAAATGTCATACATATGAAATCCATCTTTGAACATTTTTGGATGACTTATGAAGTTGTTTTGTAGCAGGCTTGATTCAAAAGTAGGACCGATAATGAATTTTAATGAAGAGGCATAGAGACACTAATCTGAATTCAAATGATACAGGATATACAGGATCTACATGTATATATATGTACATACGGTATTACTTTCACATAATCGATTAAAGAACTACATTATAAAATCCAGTCTGTAACATCAATTTTATACTAGACAAACGGCACATGCAAAGATCTACTAGTAACACATACTTATTAAGTAGAATCTGTAGTTTTGTGGACTAAACGTGAGACACAAGAACAGAAAACCCTCTTTAAATACTTCTTTGAAGAAAATTTATAAGGAGATAGTGGAGAAAGTAAAACATAAAAAGAGAGCGAGGAAACACATGGGATAAGAATGACATAGATGAAAGAGAGAGGGAAGAGAAATGAAGAAAGATGAAAAGGAGAACAAATGGAACGAGAGACTGAATACAAAGAGAGTGACAAAGAAAACTAAACATGAAGAAGAAACAAAAAAGAGATACATGAAGGGAGGAAGAGAAGAGAAATAAGAAATGAGCAAACATTTGTTGAAATAGGGAGCAAAGAGAAAGAGACAGAGAGCAATAGAGAAGGAAATGCAAGACTAAGAGACACACAATACAAATTGGAGAACCTACTGTAAGTGAAAGGCTTCAAAAAAAATGAAAGAGATGTATGTTCTACAACAGAAGAGAGATTGAGAGAGGGAGAGAGAGAGAGAGAGAGAGAGCTGGGTGCATACATTGTATGGACACCAGTATGTGGTACAATACACTGTTCTTGAACGAACCACAACTACAGAAGTACAGAAAATTATAGCACAATTAGATCTGACTTTCTACTACTGACAACAAAGATGCACACAACATTAGACTAGACATACAACAAAATCACACACAACAGATTAAAAACAAGCAGTGCAGGAGCAGTGTAGATGCACAGTGCGTTCCTTTTTTTTCTTCACAAAAATACAACTAGGTGTACTGACAGCACAATTTTGCAGACTTGTGATTAAATTTCCTAGGGTGCCAAATGGATAATAAGATACTTGTAAAATACAGTCAAATCTGCTCTAATTGCATGTCCTTGAACTACCATTACCTTGTGGTGTAAGTCTACACATATTATTGTAGATAACTCAAATAATCAGATTCAGACTATTTCATGGGATAGAATACTGGAACTGCATATTGAAACCGAAATGCAATTTTCAAGACTTAACACTAACAAAATAAGGCCCAATTTTGTTAGCATTTGAACTCAACACAATTCACTTAATTTGGGGCTTTCTCTTTATATCAGAGTATTGTATCATTGGTAAACTATACCTACTTATGTTTAAAACTAAGTCGTTGCTGTAAGAATTGACTGTATTTTACATGTACCCGATGATCATGGAAGCAGAGGCGCAATGAAAGCACAGAGAAACAGAGATCAGGAGACACAAACATGATGGCAAAACACCGAAGAGACAAAGAGAGAGACGACAGAAATGAGAAGAAGAAGAATGTTGACTTGGCATCCAACGGCCAACTGACCTCTGTTAGGTGGTGGAATTTAGGTTCGGGGGCAAACTTGACGCCTGATCGCTCAGCAGTGGTGTCAGCGGTGGGATTGTCCTGGGTCAAGAGCGGCTGTGTTGATGTATTCAGCTGATGATGATGATGCAGGGGGAGAGGGCAATGGATAGATAGGAACCACTCATTATTAAAACCTCCTGACTTCCAGAGTTACCTTGCAGAATTTGTAGAATTTTATTGACACTTTGACCCCCCTCTCAGGGTATGATCTATTGGCTTATGATTGTATAGTCGACTCGTTCATAAGATAAAAGTAGATTTCCTGTTCAATACACATCACTGCAAGTTATGCCTATTGGTTATTTACTTTCTACAGTAAATACTGACTTCAAGAGTAACTGTTATTTGAATTATATGGACAATAGTTCATAACATTGATAAAACTATATTCATTGAAAAAATTACTGTACAGTTTTGTTTTGTAAGATCAAAGAGGATAAGAGTGAAAAGGTAAAGATAAAATTTCTTTACCAACAATGATTTCTACTAAAGTTATTTCATCATACATGATCCTAAAACATGGAAGTACATTAATCTTTGTTATTCATCAAATGAAAGGTTAATCCTGGCCTGGGTAAATACAGGAGTCACAAAGTTCAAATCTGCATACTTCTTAAATCCTGCCTGTCCACATAGTAGCAAAAACCCCAGTTTCTGCGCCCCAAATTTGTTTTGTTATTCAGCGATTAGGAAAACCAATCATTACATGATTATTAAATGCCATTATATCAGGTGATGGGATATATATATGGAATTAACAACATAAACTGGAACACACATGAATGATCTACATGAACAGTGTATATACTTGATGAGTATTAAACGTAGGTTAGAATGTACAATATACCATACTGTATGAAATGACGACTATGTAATGAATGATGAGATGTACATGAAATGAACTTTATCTATTATCTATATTTATAAAGTTCTAACTTATATTCACATTTAATTCACTAACAATTACATTTGTTTTTTAATTCAGAGAGAATCATATCATGATCAACCGAAAATCGATAGTTTCTTTTTCTTCCCCCCCCCCCCCCCCCCAACTGTACTGTAGGCCCCTATTGAAAAATTAATTTCTCTTCTTTTAAACAAGCATTCAAAGCAACTGTATTCTTGTTTTAATGACATCAGTGACACTTAGGTATCATTTTCTTGAGAGCACCTAGGGTGCTGAAAAGAGGAAAGGGAAACTAGTACGACACAGAGATGAACACACTAAACTTACACAGGAATTACACCACACACAACACAACGTGCTACATTTACAACATCAGCACTAAATTTGCATGTTTTCACTATAACAAGCCAGAGAGGTGTTTTATTTGCTCCCATGCAATGTGACCTGGCTAGAAAGACTGAGAAATTGTTTAAACCCCTTTTTGGAATGTAGATTAGCTTTCCACTTTTAAAAATATAATATAGCACCATAATTTTTTGTTTTCTCGATACTTTTATAAGGTTTTAAGGGGCGAAAACTAAGAAAGACCCAGAATGAAAGATAAATCCATTGTTCCTTTTTATATATGCACACGATTTCATAGCTTACTGCTATTCAAATTAGCTGGTGAATTTCAAGATAATAATAACCAATGGAAATACTCAATAGATATTCAGTCACATGGCACCAAACAGCCAATCAGAATCGTTGAATCAATTCAATTCAATTGATTCTTTCCTTGACAGAAGATCCCTTTGCAAGGAATGGCTGTTGGTGGATTTGACAGCCATTGTAGGGACCGTTGACCCGCAAGTTTTAAAGCAATAGGAGCTAGAAATTGATAATGCATCAAGTCAACGTGGAGCCCTAGAATCCATGCACATAGCAATTAGTTACAACACCAAAGCAGGCATTTGATCGAAGTAGCGTATACACAGTTTCTTGTTCTAAACATACAAGTAACATGGGGATACATGGTTATCCTATGATCTTTGCTCTTTTTTTTTTATATTCAATTTTTTTGTTCAAATTTATTGTCAAAACTCTGCCTTGCTGTTGCAAGAAACAGATAATGCTCTTCAATAAACCAGAATATAGTGTAAAATAAAGAATTGTTTACTGACAATTAAACTCAGGTATCAAACAGTTCTTCTCGAACCATCTTTGTTTATCTACAGAATTAACTAATCAAAACTAGACTGCACATACAGACCGTTCATCGTGCCAATGCAATAGAGACTTTTCCATGACTTTGAGTGAGAGCAAGCACTAATAATGTTGCACATGCAGAAAGAATATCCATTCAGAATTTTCACAATTGGCTATTCCCTTTTTGTAATAGCTCCTGAAAGAATTTCCATCATAGTTATTATTTTTCCCATCTATTCAATTTCCTGTTAACATCAAATCCTAGCTGAAAGGAATGGGTTATGCAGTGATTAATCTCTTTACCCAGCTTTGATATTTAAAAAAATAACAAGAATATGTGCTTTCAATCACCCCCCTTTTCAGCCAAATACACTACATTTCCTCTGGATCACGAAAAAAAAAAACCATTTCACTTACAAAAATTAATTAGATTGCCCGAGGGGATCAATATATTCCCGGCAGCAAGCAAGCATACTTGGTTCACCCCCTTTTTGCACAATGCACCATCCCATGCCCATACTCACCCCAGGTTCATCTGCGGACACTTCCACTTTCGGAGAGGGGGGTTCCTGAAACATGGTTTCGGAGGAGACTAATACCTCTCTGGTCACTACCATGTGAATGTTGTTGCCCGCGGCTTTCAATGCTTCCACGGCTTCTAAATGATCTGCGTTTTCCAAGTTGGCGCTATTTACCTGAAATTGAAAAGATATGTATCATCTGACATTAGTTTTAGAATTATTAAATTCATAGCCAACTGATATCTATCTTGAGAAGCAATGAAAAAGAATTGGGTGAATTTTTAAAGTTTCTTTATTTCCTTCAACAAAAAAATTAAACATCTTTTCTTTTCATGGTACAAGACATATGATGAAAAGCATATGTTAAAAGATACCTTCCATTCTTAAAGTAGACAAGAACATTCCTGTATGGGCAAAGGAAAAATGGCTTTAATAATTAAAGAGGAAAGTTTCTTACTGCTAGAATTTTGTCGCCTAGTGTGAGACCATTTTTAGCTGCTACTCCTCCTTCTACTACCCTTGAGATGAAGATTCCCTGCACAAAGAGAAAAAATTATAGCAATAATTTTTTTTTTAAATAACAGAATTACATCCATATTTACACACTGTTATTCATAATAATCATTTGCAGCTTGTGATCCAAATTGCAGATGTTTTACAAAGTATATCATAAAATTAATCATATATCAAAAGACAGATATGATTTCATAAAGAGATGAAGAATGTATATTAGATATATCAGAGGCAATCATGAATTCCGGTCGAGAGATACCAAGATCTTTATATACAGGTTTAGCATTCTATCCTTACCTCATCATTTCCCTTGTATGGGGTGGACCCCTTTCCACCAGCTATACTGATACCAAGACCACTGCCATCACGACTGAAGTTGATCACCATCTAAAATTAAGCAATTGAAATTGAATTCCAATTAAACACACATTTCATGCATTCTGCCTTCTTTTACAAGAAAGAAAACAATTTGGAAAATTCAACACTGCATACTTTGAATGCAAGCCTATGTCAAATCTCGAGAAAATCAATTAACATAATCTTGAGGCCGAAAGATACATGTATTCACTCTCTTCCTAAGCTACTTGAAGATAATAACAACCAAACCAATATTGGCATTTGTATGACACGTCAGTCACTCCACGATTTAATAACAATCTCAAAGCCTTTTTTTTTCCCTTCAAATGTGAAATATTATTTGAAGTTGCAAGGGAAAAGTGATATCTTTGGAAACCCTGTCTACTGAATATACCATAACATTACAATTTTGCAATGCTCATATAGCAGTGACTACAAAAGTATCGTCAAATCATACAGAACAAGATCCTTGATAAATATCTGTTCATCAAATACGAGAGGAGATAATATGTAAGAAAATGGTTCAATATAAACTATTGAATTATCTAGCCCTAAAGAAACAAACAGTCCCAAACATAATTTTAAAAAGCTATTTTACAAGAAGATAGAAGTACAAATGGATAAAGAGTGTAAATGCAGGAAATAAATTAAAACATTCAATTGAATTCATCTTATTACTGCAACTTCATCTTATTACTGCAACTTTAGAACAGATTCTTACCAGTATTTTGTTTAATTCTTCTGCTACAAAGTAATTTCAAAATACACTAATGAAAGAAAAAATTAATGATTTAATAAACATTTAGTTTATACAAATCTACACACTTTATATAGCGTAAAAGCTTATATATTATCAATAGTCCATTAGGTGTTTTTTTTATGCACAAACATAAAATCAGCAGTTATTTTAGTGTGTGCATTTTCTTCAGAATTATAAGGTGCTTTTTACTCCATGCAATCCACATTTCTAATACCATTCATAACAATTGATCACTTGTGCGAAATGCCCTACATAAAAATCCAGTCCTGGAATATTATTCCTTTCAGATTTATTAAATGTCAAGATACTATAATAGTGATACAGAGAGTAGATGTAAAGAAAATCTGAGCCACAAATAGCCATGCAATCATTTTGAGTGTCCAATGTACGTGTACGTGCGTGCCTAGTAAAATTCATAAAGTTGATGAACAGAGCACTTTATGGTGCAAATATTTGAGGAATTACAATGCCTTAAAAGCAAGACTTTTTTTTGCATTATTGCTTTGGTAGGGAGTCAAAGCTATTGGTTTTGTCAATAAAAATAAAAGCATGCTTGGAAGTAGCTTGGATAACATTGTTGTGGTCATGCATGCAATAATAAACCCATCAAGTTCTAATATTCCTCATAAGAATGTGAAACTTCTTCCATGACTGTGTCAAAATGTTAATGTTAATGATTAAAAATTCTACTTGAAATTTTTTACGGTCCCACCACAAGTTTGCTTGTTTTCTTTCCAAAATTGATTTAAGAACTGTGAGCATGCTTGTGAGTTTTTAACAATCAACAAAACAAAAAAGGAAATACAACGGTTCAAAACCTTCAGGGCATGACATAGTTTTACAGAAGTATAGCAATTCCAAAACCCTTTCAAAACTTGAAGTCTATGTCTCTGGTTCATTCAAACACACCCATAATGTCAAAGTTGAAATTAAAACTAAATTTGAGGTATTTTCTTTTTCCACATAGGGAGCTCAATACAATTCAGTTTCCTCAAAGATATGGAATTGTTATAGTTATGTAAAGCCCTTAAAATTTAGCGCCCTCTGGGTGCTGAACCTTGAACATAAATCTACCTCTTTCATGCTACCAAACTTTAATCTGGTTCTGTTGGAACTGTGAGCGGCTATGTATCTTTTGGAATGTTTTAAAATAGAGATTGGCTAGGGTAGGGGACATATAGAAAGAAAAAGCAAACAAAAATCATAAAGCACACATAGTCAGCAAGCACTGAAATAATAACAGTGAAATGCTTAACATACATACATACATACATGTACATGGGAAAGCAAACTGAAATAAGCATATAAAGCAGACACTGTTGAATAGAGATGCATGCATAAATTATATCACATTGTTAGTAACGTTTTTACTCAGAAACTATATATGTATAATCAAGGCTCCACATACTCTTCCTGAGGTCCAAAGCGTAATTAGGCCACTGATTCAATTTTGACATTTTAGTCATCTAAAAATACTGATAGTAACAGTTTGTTCTTATTTGGACCTTTTAGGACCAAAGGCCCTCTGAATGAAAATTTCAACTTATATGCAACTGGAAGCATTTGGTTTATCAAAGAGGAAGTTTTTTTAATTTAAGAAAAAAAAAATCTTCCTCTCCCTTTTCTCATCTTCCATTCGATCCATCCTTTCTTTCATCTTCAATTTCATCTCTCCTTTCTCTCAATTATCTTCATTCCATCTTTTCATCGTCCTCCTATCTTCTCACCTTTTCTTCCTTGGTATCCATGCCCACTAAGCTGACTGAATTCTCATCTATCACCTTCTAAAGCACTACCATTTTCTCTCTATCTCTTTCTCTCATTTTCCACTCTATCTTTCCATCATCCTCCCCCTATCTTCTCACCTTTTCTTCCTTGGTATCCATGCCCACTGAGCTGACTGAATTCTCATCTATCACCTTCTAAAGCACTACCCTTTTCTCTCTATCTCTTTCTCTCATTTTCCATTCTATCTTTCCATCCTCCTCCTATCTTTCCATCCTCCTCCTATCTTCTCACCTTTTCTTCCTTGGTGTCCATGCCCACTGAGCTGACTGAACTCTTAGCTATCACCTTCTAAAGCACTACCCTTTTCTCTCTATCTCTTTCTCTCATTTTCCATTCTATCTTTCCATCCTCCTCCTATCTTCTCACCTTTTCTTCCTTGGTGTCCATGCCCACTGAGCTGACTGAACTCTTAGCTATCACCTTCTAAAGCACTACCCTTTTCTCTCTATCTCGTTCTCTCATTTTCCATCCCATCTTTCCATCCTCCTATCTTCCTATCTTTCCATCCTCCTCCTATCTTTCCATCCTCCTCCTATCTTCTCACCTTTTCTTCCTTGGTGTCCATGCCCACTGAGCTGACTGAACTCTTAGCTATCACCTTCTAAAGCACTACCCTTTTCTCTCTATCTCTTTCTCTCATTTTCCATTCTATCTTTCCATCCTCCTCCTATCTTTCCATCCTCCTCCTATCTTTCCATCCTCCTCCTATCTTCTCACCTTTTCTTCCTTGGTGTCCATTCCTACTGAGCTGACTGAATTCCTAGCTATTACCTTCTCCAGCAGGGCGGCTGTCTCAGGGTCCGGCTCCCCGATCATGTCGACCCGTTTGTTCTTGAGATAGTGAGGCGTGTCTCTCCTGTGTAACCTGATGTCTTCCGACGTCAGCACGTCCTCTACGTCACTGGCGAACCCAACATGCCTGTCTATGTCGTTCTATATACAAGATGGAGAAAATTTCAATAATGTCTTGACACTTGGAACTCTACCTAACCCAAGATCTACATGTTCATCATAAGATTATCAAGTACTAATCAATGTCTGTATGAAATTTCATGAAATTCTTCCTTTCAAGTACCGATATATACATTCAAGAGGGACAAATGCAGATAAAATACCTTTGATTTGAACCCTCAACATCTTGACAGAAAGTCAGGTAACAATACCACAATAGCAATGAGCTCTCAAATTTTGAATTAAATCTGAGCCTTGGTGAATAAGACTTTAAAGCAATCAAATAACATTGTGTTGCATCAATTTCATTTGACCTATGAATTGATCTAAAGCTGTTTTTAGAAATAAAGACAATCTATATGAACATAATGTTTTTGAAGTGGTATAACATACAATTCTGTTGAGATAACTACAAGTAGTGTATTTGTAATAGTCCATGGACCCGTTTCACAAAGCCTTTTTCAATGAAAAATGACAAAAATCAGTGACAAATCTGCTGATAACCAATCAGAAGCAAGGATTTCAGTAGCTTATAACAAAAACTGTCATTTGTCACTGATTACAAGTTTGGTGAAACAGGGCCCAGAATGATGGATTTTTAACTTTTGAGTCTGGCATGACACGATTACTTACATCCGAGTCTTCTGGCGTGAGTCCTCCTGTCCTACCATCAACAGACAGCTTATCCTCCAATCCATCCACCAGATCAGTCCTTCCCACCGCCTCACCATCAGGGGCGGAGCATGTCGTCACGGCGATGGTGGGTGCAACGTTGGTCTCAAAGGACACTCCCCTGCCCTCACCAACGGGCGAGACGAACTGCTGCTGGACCTCTCCGTGGGGGCTCACCGTGTGCCCATTTTCAACAACTAGTCCACCGTTCTGTCCCAATGAATTTAGGAAGAAAGCACAGATGCATTAAGTAAATCTGACAGTGCATTACTGAATTGTTGTGGACCAAAGGCGATCTTGCATAAACCCTCACAAGAGTTGATACAATTTTGTGATTTCATTTTATGAAATGAGTAGTATCATACACTCTGGTTGTATAACATTTACTCTGGTTGTATAACATTTACTCTGGTTGTATAACATTTACTCTGGTTGTATAACATTTACTCTGGTTGTATAACATTTACTCTGGTTGTATAACATTTACTCTGGCAACAGTTTTGCTCAGCGGTCAAATCTTCTTATTAATTGAATTGCTGAGATCAACCCTTGACCCCACATCTAACCCGACCACAACTGTTAATCCTAAATAAAACCCAATCCCAACCCCCAACTCTAACCCTTTATCTCTAATAGAGCCTAAAGCAAATGTTGCCAGAGCAAAATGGATGCACAGTTAAGAACTGAACTGTTCATACCCCTTGTAAATTTCATGTTTTTTTGTGTTTTCGTAACTCAAGAATGAAAGTTGGACTGGTTGAATAAGGGCCTTTGATGGATACTTTCAGATGTAAGCTCTACCATGCCACATTCTAAAGAAACTAAACTAAATTTCTTATATTTAGTCATTTTCAATTGAAACTTTCATCAGAAACTTTCATCAGTTTGCTTCTGTTATTTTTCTGCTTTCTTTTTAGAGTAGTTGTCTATTTGGGTTGGATTTCCCTTTAATGAACGGTCACCATACCTCCATCTCTGCTTCATCTTCCGATTTGCCGCCCTCTTTGGCCTTTAAGTACTTGGGATGTCTGGACTTGAGATCCTTGGGGTGGGGTGTGTCTTGTCTCGAGAACGGCGTCTGAAGGGGAGGGAAAATGAAATGAATGTCACTGATTACATTACAACAGTAATGACCACAAAAAATCTGATCCATCTATAAAATAACATTCTTGCGGTTCCTTTAATAGTCTCATAAAACGTATACTACATTTGTTTATTGTTTTAATGAAATTAGAATGTTAGTTGCTATAATGACTTTTAAGTTATATTTTCATTGCATTATTCATACATGTACCACATAATTTCTATCACCGGGGTAACAAAGTATTAGGCGCGTTATAAATGTGATTTATTATTATTAATCAAAAAGATTTGACGATGTAATAACAATTCATTTTACAGTATTACTCTAACCACTGTTGGTTGCGAGACAATACAAAACAAATGGTATTAATTATTTTTCATTCCATACTTGTTCATACCCATGTTGTTTGCTTAGGCAAATGTATGCAATTTGTTCCTTTTTTTTTTCAACTGCAAAAATCATATGTGTTAGGTATGCAGAAAGTTTAAATAATTTGCAAAGTGGCCTGTTAAGAAACATCCTTTTATTCTATATTACAGGACTGATGTCTTTATTTGTTTTATAAAATTTATTCTGGTTTAACATAGTAATATTGGTACAACTAGGAATATAATAGACATATCTATAAACTACATGTATATATATATGTACATAAACAAAGATAAAAATAATTACATCTATGACATCACCACTAAAAATACAACAATATTTATTCACTTTACATCAGCAGATTTACTAAACCTGTTTGCACAAGCAAGACAGAGTAAATAATGACTTTCTTTGGCGTAAGATCTCTGCGAGGGTTTACCGTTTCCTCTCTGTCAAACAACAACTTGTTGCTTGGAAGTTTTACGAGGCATGTGGCGGACATCGTCAATCAACATCCTATGAGTCACATGTGATCGTCATGTGCGTACAGGAACGATTCGTCTGTCTGCTGATCAATTTCTCTCTCTCTCTCTCTCTCTCTCTCCCTCTCTTTCCCCTCGTCCTCAGCTGTACTCCCTACATGCAAACAGGATTGCTATAATGCTCTCTCTCTCTCTCTCTCTCACACACACTCTCACTCACACACACACTCTCACCCACATACTCTCACCCACATACTCTCTCACTCACACTCTCACTCACTCCCTCTCTCTCTTTCTCTTTCTCTCCCTTTCTTACCTTTCCCTATCATAACACTCTCTTTCTCTCTCTCTCTTTCTCTCTATCTCTCTCTCTCCCTGTTTTACCTTTCCCTATCATACCCCCCCCCCCTTTTCCCCTCTCTCTCTCTCTCTCTCTCTCTCTCTCTCTCTCTCTCTCTCTCTCTCTCTCCTGTTTGTTCTGTTCACTCTCCTTTCAATCTTTCTTTCGTCATGACTCATCACAGTCAAGGGTGTGCGTCTGTGTATGCGCTCCTACACTTGATACCGCAACAAAACATGGCATCTAAATATAGATTCTCATGCCGGTATCCGGATGAACCTGCTTGAGGACTTTGCCAAGACCCATCTTACTGTACAGAATCATTTCAATATTCTTTATCTTTATAGTCTAGGTGTTGCAAATCAGAGACACAGATGTAAAAAAAAAAAAAAAAAAAAAAGCAAAGCTGTGCATATAAAATATCATTTTTTTAAAGCCATTTGTAGACAGGCTGGGCATTTTGGAACCGTCTGGTAAAGGACTGATGAACAAGAAAACCTGCACAGATCAAATTGCATACAAAGAATACCCTGTTCGTGGACCTTGTACTGGGGGGGGGGTCCAAAATTCTCTCCCCCCCCCCCCCCCCCCCCTAATTCCTTAAAAAAAGAATTCATAATGCACAAGGAAAGAATTTCATACATTTCATATATTTCAAACATCAATGTTAATTACTGGGTTAATGAATCCATCACAAAGAAAAAATGGTGGTACTACTCTTTCTGTATTTTCAATGTTGACATTAACTCACAGATTTGCCTTCGTTGTCGACGACTCCATCAGCAAACATGGCCCTCGCCCTGCCCTCGAAGTTAACTGCATCTGTATCCAGGGCACCAATGTTCAGATTGTCTTGGAAGTTGTCATAGTCTGAGAGAATATCAACAGTTATAGATAAATGTTAAGTGACTAGGCATGAGGATGCAATATGATGCTTGGAAATCACTTACAATCTCACTCTACTATTCAAGTCTTTACTCAGCGCCACAAATATGTGTGGGTTCCTTATGAAAGTGGGACACCAAAAATGTCACAAAGTAGGTCCCTAATTTATGGAATTACCCAAATCACAATGCGTATGAACACCCCTGGGTAAAGAGAGACAAGTGCAGATAAATGCTTATCCGTTCCTTCTTATGGTCCCATTCCTTCTGATGGTCCCTCCTGTGGTATTAGGAAGTATTTTAAGACTTTAATTCCCTACCAAATGCTAATCAAGGTTAAAAAAACACCCCCTGGGTTAATAGAGGCAAATGCAGATAAAATGCTTACCTATTCCTTCTGATGGTCCCTTCTGCGGTAGTAGGAAGCATGTTAAGACCTTCAGTCTCTGTGGTCCTATCTCTTCAGTCTGGAAATTCAGCATGGGTTGTGACTGAAATTGAAAAAGGGGTGGGGGTGATAAAGAAAATCAATGTTCATTAAAACAATCAGAATCCATTTCTACACACTGGATAAAAGGTAAAATCAGGTTTTATTCAATCAAGTGAAAGAAATTTTGGAGAGGTTGAGTATGTGATACATATGAGCAATTGTGTATTGTAAGAGTTTTGTATCATAAAAATAATTTATTTTTAAAATTGACTATATGGGACTACACAAACACTTGCCATCAAAAGTGAATCCAGAAATTTTAACTATTTCTGATCAATTATAGAATAAGAACATATCCTTTTCATGTGACATTAGAAAATAGTAAAGGAATGGAAAAGAAGGGGCAAAAAGGAAGAGAGGTTAAAAAAGAAGAAAGTGATAAACAAACAATCGACAACATGGCAACAAGGAATTTATAGAAATACATTTTAAAAAGGTACAAATCAAAACAGAAAACACACTAAATAGAAACAGAGTAAAAACAGGAAGAACAGACAAAGTGTCAACAAAGGTTGGCCGAAGGCTTGCATTGCCACAACAGCCATTATATGCCGTCATCGTAGACTAATAATGATGGCAATTAATCTTGGGTCATTCGACAGTGGCACCACAGGAAATGAAAGTTAATTAAAAGGATTTACATTTCACAGCATGTAATGGTAGTGGCATTACAATACCTTGCCCACACGCAGTCAGGCAGGCAGGTACAATGTACATGTTGTGTTTATCTTGAGGTCACGCGAATGCACTTTACATGACCCTGTGAGCAATTAGCGTAGCTAGTGCAGCAATGAACTAATGTATGTCACACATACATAAACATATGTACATGTACAGTTTAACAACTAAGTTATTCATACCCCTTGTAAATTTGATGGGGTTTTTTGTTTGTTTGTTTTTCGTAATTCACAGTGGACTGGTTGAATTAGGGCCTTTGTTGAATACTTTTAGACGTAAGCCCTAATACGTAACATCCTCAAGAAACATAATTTTGGAAAAATCAATTTTCACAAAACTTGGTTTGTGTATGAATAATTGATTTGTTTACTGTAATTGCTTGCTGTGTCTTCAAAACTGTATTTCATTTGAACGGATTACTGGAAGTCCACCCGGCAATTCCAAAGATTTACCCTTTGCAAACTAGAATACTTCCATATACAGAACCATATTCAGAATAACAGATTGGTCAGCATATTACTGTTGTTTATGGCTTTTGAAAATGATTAACAGATTAGTACATTAATGCCATATGCACATATACACATGTAAACACTTACAGTAATGTTGAGTACACAGTTTATACCAAGTTATACAGTATGTATAGCACTAGAATGTTACTGTGTATATGAAATCTTGTGAAACTGTATGACCATGCAATATCACTTATAGGAACAATTTGCCAAGCAGTGTTTAGTTCGGATAACTTGCAAGAGCGTAGCAGCTCTTTGCTAATTATGGGATCATGAAGGACAATTGTGAGTTTAGGGTCATAATTACATCTTGAGAAACCTTTTTGACTATATATTTGCTCCAATGTCTTGGGACAATGAAATTATGAGCCTAGTATAATGATTTGTAGGTACAATTAACTGTTAAACCTTATACTTAGTTACAATTACATGTACATATCTTGTGAAACTACATGAGGATTCAGTGACACAAAGACGTGACTCCATATTTTGACAAAATGAGTACTTGATATCAAAATGTTCAGGAAAATGTGGGCTTTCCAGGAAACACAAAGACTTATCTACACCCAAGTCAATGGCTAGTGAAACATAGACTTAACTCCTGAAAGCCCAAGTGCTCCGTGACACATAAACCACTTTTTCTCAAAATGGCCAAAATGGAGTTACGTCTTTGTGTCACTGACCCCTCAACATTACGAAGCATGGATGATTGATTGCTCGAGGGATGATCAATTGGTTGATGCTGTGCACAAGAAGAGATAACAAATGACATCAAGGGACATACCTGGTTTTCTGAGAGCCACAGAGCTTTGAGGTTGCAGTTAGCCAGCTGGATGGGCAACCAGTCCAGCCGATTACCGCAGACATCCAGAACATGAAGCTCTCGCAGCTGACCGAGCTCTGGCGGGAGACGGAGAAGTCTGTTATCACGGAGGGAGAGGACACCAAGACGTGTGCATTTGCCGATCTGGGGATATCAAAGATATAGAATTAGTAGATATTGTTTATTTATTATTTCTCTTTATTCATTATATACTTTACTACATCTATTCATCTTTTAAAATTCAAATTAATATTCATTTTCTTCCATTCAATTTGACAACATATTTGACATCTTTAAATCTATATGTATTACTCATTCATTTATGGTTCTATCCATTTATTTATTCATTTATCAACCCATCAATTTATCCAAACACATAGGCCTTAGCCATCCATTCATACTTCTGCTTATCCATCCATCCACTTCACTATAAATCCATCCGTCCTTAGAAAATCTTCCTTTTCTTTCATTAACAAAGCAAGACTTACTGCGAATTGGATCGTGACGCGAATCGCGAGGATTAGTGAAATTTTAAAATCTTTTTTCTGTAGGTGTGAACGCTCCTAAAGTTTATACCACATCCTTGCAACACTCGCAGCATTGTTTATGGAATGAAAGTGGGGTTATCTGTCATAGGGATCCAATTCTAATCTAAAAATTGGATATTGCATTGTAAGTCCCAAATGAGATCCATTTGTATGAAATTTCCTCTCTGGAAGTCACTTTGGGTCATTCCTTCCTCTTGTGTAGGTGGCAGCACGTCACAATCGAAGGAAGCTACTTCTAAAAGTCAATTACAGCAACTTAAAGGGAATCTTAAGTTGAAGTAAGCCCAAATTATTGCGTTTTGATGAAAAATTGTTCAAATAAAGGTCATTCTGATTTGGCAACCTTGCATTCAATATTTTGGGGGGTTGTTATTAGCAAAAAAATAAAGAAGAAGACTATCTGAAAATCATATATGGACATATGGGATTACATATTCTGTTGATCAACCCTGATTTCCACATTTTTACGTTGTTACCACTTATCACTTAAAGGTAAAGACCAGTATTGGAAATGCCCCAATTTCAAAAAATGAAATGGAAGCTCTTATTACCAATCATGTGAAAGAATATGTTTTGACTAATACATGATGATAAAAATTTTGTAGGGAAACCGCCTACTAATTGATATATTTGGTAAATTAGTTTATCTATTGGTGTGTGAGAGATAAACGCACGTGTCGCGCACGTGTGCGTAGTCCCATATACATCTTTCTGTGTACAGTGCTTGTAACGAAAACTGGGCCAAATTTCTTATCATTTTGATGATTCCAGAACCTTGCAGTACACACCAATACATATACTAGATGATCAACCTTTTCTGATCGATTCCACACAGTTTCTTTCAACTGTATCTTTAACCCCCTTCTGAACTCATGAAGACAACCTTTAAGTACTACTAACCTGAGCTGGGAGCTGGGTTAATCTGTTTCGGTCCACGTTGAAGTTGTTGAGGTGCCTCAAGGAGCCTATTGTTGGTGGTATTTCCTGCGGACGGAATTCACACAAGGTCAGAGAAAGACAAATGAAATGACAGGACCTGACAATCATTTAAAGGGACAAAACAACAGTCTTTTGGATATAAATATTACAATATCTATTTAATCCTTGGATTCTGTTTCAGATTCAAAAGTTAATATTCAATATTTCTCTTCGGTTTATAGATTGCACACACAAGAAAAAACTGAAAAAACTGAAGCTCAAAGCATGAGAGCAGAGATCATGAACAATTTCCTGCTTCAAAATATATTATTATTATTCCAAAGATTTTTTTGTCTAGGTAGGCTAGGTGGCTTGAATGGAATTTACATTCAAATAAACATTTTTTAAAGTTTTGTATGAACACAGTAAAGTGATGAAGGAGGTCAGCCCGTCCCAAGACAATGCAAAGGTAGATTTTAAGGTGTGTATGAACACAGCCAGGTGATGATGGAATGTTACCCCCACCCAAGACAATGCAGAGGTAAATTTCGCTCTGAATGAAGAAGATTTACGGCACAGACAAGACGTGAAGGATCTCATAAAACTGCAATAAAGTTCAATTCCAGACAGTGAGAAATAAATGAGACTTTCAAATGCCATAGTTTAAGGCAGGACCCCTGAAGGCAATGTTCAGCCTTGAAATCTTTCATCAATGTTTTAACGATGAAAGAGATGGTTTATAAACCAATTCGGATCAACACTTTGATTGCCTCTTCCAGAAGTGGTTTGCTGGCGATTGATTTCTAGATTCACCCTCATGTTTGTACGTGAACATAGTATGCAGTTACAATCATCCTGATAAGAATGTCACCACCCTCGCCTTCATCCCACATTATCTTTTTTTTAATACAATATATTTAATTGGTGAAATTATGAAGCAAAACAATTCTTCCCTCTATTATTATCATCATCATCATTTGAAAAATATGACTTTTATGACAAATCCCAAACAACAAACAAAGAAAATTTCCATCCAACATGTATTGAATATTAATTTCCCAGGTCATCTGCTTTATATAATTTCTAAAAAATCAGTTTATTGGTGTCATATTTGACATACAATACAGATAACAACAAACATAAAAGACATATTGTTTCATAATTAAAACAAAATGACTATATAGTAATTGACAGAGTAACAGATTACAAAGTTACATATCATCAAATTTGTTCGACAACTATTATCATGTTAAAGGAAACCCTGACAAGAAAAGCACAAAACTGTGAAATGTCTCTCTCTCTCTCTCTCTCTCTCTCTCTCTCTCTCTCTCTCTCTCTCTCTCTTTCCCTTTCCCTCCCTCCTTCATTTTTGATATGAGCCATCTAACCACTAGTTCTCATTCCTGTACTGGTAATTGTGATGATGATAGCAATCGTATGGCTTTCTGATTGTCCTATCGGCCTAGACACTCTTTCCTGTGTTGAGCAAAGTATCGCAGAAGACACAAAAGTCGCTGCAAAAGCAGAAACAGCTGCTCTTTGTTTTTGGCCTCCTGATGCAAAATGTCACGACCCTCAATACAGACTTTGGACCCTCTTAAAAAACTTCAATTCAAGTCTGTATGGTCATATTGGGAGTACTTATGGTTAATAGATTGACATTCTATTGCAATACCTGGTAAAGCCTAGGTATTAAACCCCATTCTGTTATGAATATGATGCCTGCCATAAATTTACATTGACATGTACCTGTGAGAGAACACAGCTCTATAAGTATCAGCTTTTGTTTCAAATTGAGTTTTATGACAGCAATGTCTTGTGATGCTACATGCCTATCACAATGCTACCTCACAATAGTGTCTAACAATACAGCAACACAACAATATCAGGAAACTTTTTGTTGCAACTCCGTTTTACAACCATTGTCGTACAACTTTGTGATTTTCCAATGTCTGCCTTGCAACAATGATCATCTAAGATTTGTTTAATACAAAAATCGTCTGTCATCAACTGTCTTTATAACAACAAAGTCTTGCCACACTGTGTCAAGCCATTATTAAAGGAAGTTATATCATCAAATCAACTCACCTGTAACAAGTTTTCTGTCAGAATGAGTTCTTGCATGTTCTCACAACTGAAAAGGAAAACAAAAAAGAATACTTAATTATGTTTCAACTGATCATTACATTAACAGGGGACGGATCAAATTCCATTTAACAACATTATTAGTAAGGCTAGTTTTAGAACACAGTGCAAACAATGAAGGGAATCAGCATATATTATACATCTTCCAATATTATTTCAAATCATTTACAAGGCAATAGTAGAGCAACCATACCCTATTTTTCTATTTGCAGTAAAATATGCTGCAAATTGAAAGTTATTGCAAGGATTTCAAAAAACAAGTCACGTTGGAAAAGATTACAAAGAAGATTACATTCTACAATAGCTGATTGCGTCTATTAAACAAAAAATAAATGACTGAATGAATAAACACACAAACAAAATAAAATAAGTTTTAGAATTAAATTTTCTTAAATGCAACATTTAATCCTAAATAGAAATATTTTTGAAAAGATCAATGATCATCTTTTTTTCTTTTCTTGCAACATTCATGCACAATACTGTTTTACATATAATATGAGACTTACCTCCCAATAGCAGGCGTGAGGGTAATTAGTCTGTTCTGATCGATCTTAAGGATACTCAGATCTTTCAGTTTACCTGGAAATATAACAAAAATAATGTTAAAAGAGAGATATGAAATAACAGGTCAATGTACTATCCCCATGTCAAAATATTGTACATTTAAGCCATTCCAAATGTGGTTTATCAATAAAATGAAATATATATGTGTACATGTTGATACAGAAAGAGCCATATCAAATTTGACAAATTGATTAAATGAAGAAAATTGTATATACCTCCCCCCCCCCCCCAAAAAAAAAGAACATCATTAAAAAATGAAGAAATAACATTTAATTGACTATACAATAAGCAAAAGAGGAAGGGTGACCTAGTCATTAGAAAACAGTTCACTTGAGATAATAAGATCATATCAACTCAACAAGTAAATGAATTTACAACCATGCTAATATTGTGTACAGTCAATGACCTGTAAATATTTCTTTTCTTTTCTCACAAATTAGCACAGCAATATGGTATGAGAGTGAATTTCGATTGAAATATAACCATTTAAATTACATTTATTCAATTCAGTGTCGTGTTCATTAATACATCTATTGTACTCAATCTAGAGCTTGAAACATGTACAAGGCTGTGATTAGAAGCGAGCATTAATTGTTTATTCACACATTATTGTAGGGCGTTAAAATGGGTTAATGAGATAAATTACTTTTTCCTGTATCATTTTTCTGACACAGGTACATGTAGGTTATGTAGCTCCCTTAAAACTGCTTCCGTATTTTCTTCTGTTTTTGTGATCACATTAGTGTATATTTGTCATTGTACAATTCTTTATTATGTATAATTCTGATGTGACATGATCTTTGTTATTGTTAAAGCCAATGGAAAAAGAATTTCTTTTGTATGACAAATGAGTCAATAAACTCAATTCAATTAAATTCAATTCAAGTCAATATAATATCTTCAAATGTGTTTTTAAAATGAACAATTCATTGGACATTAATTACATGCCAGGCCTGTTACATGCACATGTATGTAAACTACAATCATTTCGATTAAAACATCATCATTGAGAACTCGAGATAAAATTTCATTGAGCCAAAGGCAAATTCTATAAACACAATTTAACCAGCTGAATACGAAGCAAAGGGACTTCCGGAGAAATTATTATTGGAGTTCAAAACAGGGACATGCCTATTTCTTCCGGTATAGAAATAAAGAAAGAAAAACGAAAACTAATCACAACACAATCCACCCTTCCAGCCTTTCCCCATCGCCCAAAGCTCAACTTGTTTACGATTATTCCTCGAAAGTAAAATTTATGTCTACTAGTCACTGTTCTTCTTCTTTTTTTAAATCCCCAGTATCTTCATCTCAGCGATGCGCAGGTATAATTCATCGCAGGATTCTGCCCGGTCTTTGACGAGCATGTCCCAATTTCACACTTTATTTCTTCCTGATACTCCGCTGATCCCTTTCTGTGAGTGAAATGCCAAATACGGCCTGCGGTGTTTTCGACACAAACAACCCGGCCCAACTGAATGGATTTAGAAGGTAGAGGCATTGATTTCTGTGATACTGTCTTAGAAATATCTTCCCTCTATCAAGAAGATATTGAAATAGAGGCCAAACTGGCATAGCAACTACCTCTATATGAAAGAAGATGTTGCTTTGTTTTTTATTTTGTTTCGCTTGAGTTGTTTAGTTACATGTACAGTCAGACCTGAATCAACGAAGCATAAATTCAAAACACTTCTCCATGAAAATATTACTTATTCATTTTGTTTCCCTTACATATTGAATATAAAATCCCGAAATTTATCTGTTTCTTTGAGCAGATATTTTGTTTTGTTTTAAGTATATTTTTTTCAAATACCTTTTTCAACTATTATGATGCTTGTAAATAACGGTGTTTTTGTTTTTTATAATTGATGTGAATGTCTTGATAACCAAATATCACCTTAATATCACTTTTTAACAAATACACCCTCCCCCATGTTCATACCTAATATTCGTTATGGTACATTGCTTTTAATTAAGACAGGTAGACTAGACACCTGTGATGTTTCAAGATGACATTAAAGATGAAGTTGAGTTCTGGTCATGCCACTGAATTGTGAAAGAAACGGTTTGGAATCGATCAGAAAAGGTTTGATCATCTAGTATATAAGTATTTGTGTGTTGCAAGGTTCTGGAATCACCAAAATGATAAGAAATTTGGCCAAATCTTGGTAAAGTTACAAGCACTGTACACAGAAAGATGTATATATGACTACACAAACATGTGGCGTAAAAATCCATCCCGTTTTTTTACGATGTTACATGCCATTTTTAGAATATGAAGGCATTTGAAGAGCCATGCTTTTCAGGAAACATGTTTTATTTGACATTCTTCCACACTTGCATAATAAAAATGATAACCCTCACAAATTATTTTTCACCTCTTCCCAGAACTCAACCTTCTCTTTAACACTACAGGTCCATAATCAAACACCATGATTGTCCATATCGTAAGAGGCTACTCCCACCCATACCCGACCCATACTAGACATTGTTTGTTGCTCATAACATATCAGAACAAGCAGACTATGTATGTGGTTCCAATCAGACAGTAACACTAAGAAACCATAATCATGAGCTACAATTTTCCAAATAACAACACACTACCCCCACCGCTGGTAACAAACATTGTTGATTTGCTTTTAGAACATTCAGACTGTGTATTGTTTCAAGCTGACATCAACACTAAAGGCTTGTTCAAATACTGTATGATGCAGCAAAATCGTGCCGTTTATTTTTGTTATGATGACGTAAAGTATATTATAATTCACATTTCTGAATATCAGTGAAATAATATATGTAAGTCTTTTATTGGAACGCAGTTGCTATTTATTTTATACATTTAAAAAAAGGAGAGGCATTTTGTTTTTTGTTTTCAGATTTTTTTTGCAGTGGTTTACTGCACCGTATATTTAAGTGAACAAGCCTTATTAGCTGATAATCACGAGCAAGGATTTGACATGAGTTCTCCGGTGATTTTAGGCAAGAAGGAAAGCCTATTAGGAGCATCGGCATAGCATGTTATCAATGGGATCCCAAGGACACCTGTCTCTCTCATTAAGAACCCAGACAAACAACAACTAAATGATAATACAGGACATGCATAATTAATATGGCAATGGTCATAAGACCTTTCCTCAAGCATGTCTGCAAAGTACGGTTCTACAGCTACTAAAAACAAGTATATGGAAAGCAAGAAGTTCTTTGAACAACATTTTTGACCTAACAGGGCAAAAGAGAACCATATTCATTTCTACCGTAAATCTCTGTGTATAAGGCGCACTTTTTTTGCCGCCGAAAAAAAATTGAAAGTCGGGGGTGCGTCTTATACACAAGTACAGAAAATGGCGCTATGCCTGGCAATGTCTCCCAGCTCAGTAATCAGTGTGTTGACTCGCCACTCAGAAACTACAACAACACTCAATTTTGTCTGTCATCTTGGTTTGAATTTAATCTTTCTAATAGATCTCAATATGTTGTTTATAATAATAATTCCTCAATTTTTTTTTTTCTATAGAAAATGGTGTACCACAAGTTTCTATCCTAGGACCCAGGTACTCTATTGTTTTTAATTTACATTAATGATCTTACACATTCTTCTAAAAACGACATTGTTATTATTATTTGTGACAAGTTCACAAGCACAAATCAGCACCTTCAACTGCACCTTGATGTTAAATGAAGATCCTTCCCCGCGTGGGTTTTCGGCAACCAAACAACAACAACAAAACGATTCCCCCCCCCCAAAAAAAAAAAAAAAAAAAATAGGGGTGCCTTATACACAGGTGCACCTTATACACGGAGATTTACGGTATCATCAAATTAAATCATCAGAAATTCATATCATTGTGAAAATACAATCTTTCATGTTTATTAAAGTAACTTGTTTTTGCAAGATTTCATACATGGAACTTCAGGACATTGGTGTAACTTAAAGTGAAAGATAATTGATATTAGGTTCTGTATTAGGCGCTTGAGTATACAGAGACTGATCTCTCCAATATATACACTTTACATGTTTTCATTATCACCTGTTCAAGAAGACTTCTCATAACAATGTGACTAACTTCACACAGGTATTTTTCACAGTGCATTTTCTTACTGTGCAACCATATATACTACCCTACAAAGACAATTCAATCATTTTGTCCTCATCATCAATTCAATATCATAGACAGACATTGAAAATTAATAAGAATCCTTCACATTTTCCTCTTTGTTTTCAGCTCTTCCTTATATTTTTTTGCTCATCAAAACATCATTGGTTTTCTTGTTTTAAAAAGGTGGTCAATTTTGCAATACATAACTAGAGCTCTAATTTGTATAATCAGGGACCCGTTTCACAAAGCCTTTTTTCAATGACAAATGACAAATGACAAATGACAAAAATCAGTGACAAATCTGCTGATAACCAATCAGAAGCAAGGATTTCAGTAGCTTATAACAAAAACTGTCATTTGTCACTGATGACAAGTTTTGTGAAATGCCCCCCTGAAGAACTTGCGTCTTTGCCTACCATTTGGTTAGGAGAAACACTGACGGACACAGGTCGTTTAGCAGAGCTCTGTGTGTTGTTGAAGGAAACGAGAGTGTTGTCTATCGACCGGGCAGTCTATATATGGATGCTTTCGATTACGTACAGAAAGCTACTTCCACTATCTATCTTTGCATCTCTTTGAAGTCTAGGAGTTTTCAAAACTTACTGCTGCCTTCTCAGGAGAGCAGTATCAATACAGGGGGTGTTTCACAAAGATCCTAAGTCAAACTTAACTCTAAGTTGGACTTAACAATCATGGAAAGCCGTTAGCATCTTTGAAAAATATTTTGTGAAAGTTATTTTAAAAGGCATAAAAATGTTGATTCAAATCATTCATATTTTCTATTATCAACGAGATTTCATGTTCTTGATGTGGAATTTATGAAAAGTCTAATATACTTCAATTTTTTATTTTAAATATATTTTTTTTAAGGCTACAAATGGCTATCCATAACGTTTAAGTCTAAATTAGAGTTAAGTTCAACTTAGTATCTTTGTGAAACACCCCCCTGATATGACTACCCTGGGTAGAATAGAACCAAATCATCACCAATATGATCTTGACTATCAGTGTGACTTACCGATTCCTTCAGGTAACTTCTCCAGGCAGTTCTGTGACAATGTGAGATCTGTGAGACTCTGCAGACCTCCGATTTCATCGGGTAAACACTGCAGGTTGTTCTCTGACACATCTAAACAGGTTAGGTTTCCTAGGTTTCCAATCTCCTGCAAAACAAACCAACACACCAACTATGTTTAATACAGAACACAGGTTTAACTGGAAGAAGTATTTGTTACAAAAAATTGATATTACTGAATGTCTTTCTTCATCTTGACTGCCATGGAAAGTGTGACTGTTTCAAGTTTCTAACCAATTGACCTACAATGTACATATTGAAGGAAATGCCCTCAGATAATCTTTTTAAAAGTTTTACAAAGTAAAAACCAACATTGATAATTTATTGACCATTTGTTGCATCATGTAATAGAGGGCTGTAGAATTAGTTTTCATAATAGAAGCTCCACCAACAATTACTCCACGGTCAATTGTCTGCACTGACCCAATTCCTACCTTCAACTCCGGACCAAACACAATACCTAACCTCAAGTCTCTAACCATTAAGCTGTGTGAAACCCAAACTGCAACCATAACCCTAGTCCCGACCCTATATCTCTGACAAAATAAAACCCAGAGCAAATGTCATTCAAGCATGTACCAGTGCCACACTAACCCAGTTCCTGACTTCAATCCTAGACTTACACCTGTACATGCAACACTATGCCTAACTCTTACCTTAACCCATAAACTCATTACAGCCCTAAACATAACCCAAAATCCAATTAGCCAGTTCGTAAACAGTTTTGGTATGCATGAATCCCCAACATTCACAGATCTTTTACACGATGGATACGTCCCACTTGTGCATTTTCGAATAATCACTGCCAAAGTGATGGAGGTGCTTCATGAATACCTTGAGAAGAATACTTCCATCTGTGTATCAGATAAATGTACTGTTGGTGCATAAATGAATACTGATTACATAACTTTCATGAGCACGATACCAGTATTCGTCTGAGAACAAATGACCTTTACCTGCCCAGGCACGGATAGTTTTTCAAATTGGAACCCTAACCCTAACCCTGTATCTCTGCCAAAATAATGCCTGGAGTAAATATCGCCAGAGCAAATGTCGGGTGACTAGGAACGTCTTCATCAGCTTGATACTCGACCTCCAAACTTGAAACTGGAGCTCGAGATATTTTGCTCAGCGTTCGCGCATAGTGCGAGTCTACATTGGTGAAGACGCACCGGACAAATAGCAGGATATTTTGCAAAATAGCCCAAGATATCTTTGGATGATTATCTTGACCAAATATCCCGCTAATTTCAACTGCGGGCTGATGAAGTCGCAACTTAGCTGGATAATTTGCGATCAGGATATATCAAATGGCGGGTTATTTGGCGGGTTATCTTAAGCTGGTGAAGACAGGCCTACTGATGCACTCACCGGAGGGAGGATGGTGAGTTGATTACAGTCCAGCCAGAGTTCTGAGAGGTTGGGTAGCGCTCCCAAGGTCTCCGGGAGCTCCTCCAGCTCATTGCTCCCTAGATCCAGGGTCTCCAGCTTGACCAGGAAGGAGAGGGAGTCTGGCAGCACCTTCAGCAGGTTCTCTCGTAGCTCCATGGCTATCAGGTTGGACATACTGAAAAGAGAAGGTCAAAATGTGATTTAGACAAGAGCAGGTATTTAAAGGAAAATTGAACCTTGTCTCTTGAAAGGATGAAGGAATGGATTGATATGATTACAATATAGTGTAATAATTTTAATTGAAACATAAAGAATGAATGAATGCAACTAGCTCAGTAGCATTCAATTTTATGTTAAATTTAACCCTTTTATTTTACTAGCTGGCCATGTCAAATGTTTCTTTCATCTTATATTGCTCCTATTATTATTACTTTTTTTATATCAAGAATAATAATAATAATAATAATAATAATAATAATAATAATAATAATAATAATAATACTCAGTTCTTTTATAGCGCATAACACATTACAGGATAGCATGTCCCTATGCACTTCAAATAGAAAGGAAAGAATTACAAGAACAAGTCATACACATTAGAAAATCCACTTAGAAGCAAAGAAGTACATGTAGTGTTGGACGCGGAGTTCATGAGTGTACGATTTTAACATTGAATGAATACGTTTTAAGAGAAACCTTAAACTTGTATAAGGCACTGGTTTTTTTAACTATGACCAAATACCTAAATGGCCCTTTGAGAGCCTGAAACTTTCCAAAGATAAAGAATTAGAAATCAGTAACAACTTTTTCTTGTAGCATGGACCTAGGTTAACCTCCCATAGCTTAACGAAAAATTTTCATCGTTGCTTTATGCTCATGAGGTATCCCTGAACAGCAAATTGTTTACGGAATTTTGTAACAAAATTGACATGCCATTTTTGTCGGAGCTGTAAAAAATATATAGCCACAAACAATATGTTTTTTTTTCTATTGATGATTAATGAGCATGAGTGGATCTTAAAGAAACTTAAAAGTAATCTGAATCAACTCCCCTATTTTAATGGAAAAGTACAATTGAAAATGGCGTTTCGGACGTTACATTGTCCGTAAACAATGTAGACCCTCATTTAACCCACTAGAACAACAAATTAATGAGATTGTATATGGTTTGAGTGAGTTTATTAGTTGCCCCAAGTGATTATATTAAAAGAAAATATAATTTAACTATAGTAGCGCTTATATTAGAAATATGCTCAAAATTTGAAAAAGGCGTCTCATTTTCCGTAAACAGTTTTGTAACGTCCGAAACAATTTTCAATTTGAAGTAGCAGAAAATATATGAACAGCAGGATATATCTATCATAACATTTTGTTAACATCTCATGGCAGCTACCCACCAAAACAAAGAAACTTGCAATACATTACTACAATACTATTTTATAGTTAAAACCAATTTTCCGTTAACAGTTGTAACGTCCGAAACAAATGTAACGTCCGAAACAAAAAATACCAATAAAATGATAATAATCCATATTTTAAGGTATCTAGAGTGAATAAATCATAATGAAATAAGTTATTATAAGTCCTAACACAAGTCAAAATACAAATCAGGTCTTTCAAATCCATTAATTTTTTGTAATCACAAGAATGGTGTTTCGGACGTTACACAATTTTATTGTTAACACAAAGTCGACAAATTTCACCTAATTTTCGATCATATCTGCAAGTTACCATTTCACAATGGACACTCCTGTTAAAAACACTATTTTGATGATTTTATTCAGATTTAAATATAAAAATGTGTAGAAATATGATGCCAAAAATCAAATAATCCGTAAAATATCTAAATTTTCTGCAAAATTGACTTATAAAACATAAAAAATTGAAGCCACACTTTGTGATGCAAGGCATAGCTGGTTGCTTCAGTATATCCTTAATTGTAATTTATCAGAAAAAATCTCAACAAAAGTGACTCATGACAAATATTCAGCCACTTTAACAGCACTTTCTGGTATGCTGCTAGCACGTTTCGGACGTTACATTAAACTGTTAACAGACATTTTCATACTTTAACTAGTTCAAATGAGGGGCAATGATAGATGTGAGAATAGCAAATTTCATTTGTTTAACCTCTCCTTTTGCTATTTACATTGGTGTGTGTTTGCAAATCATGAGGTTTTCATTTTTATAGAGGTTGTTCCAAATGATGTCATATAACCAAAGATTGTATGGTCAATTTACACTATCTGGTAGGTTACAAAAATCAAAATCACCCACTTAAGCAATACCCAGTGTGCATGGTCATGACATGGATATGATACAGGTATATGAAGTTGATAAAATCAAGCAAATTAAAATGTATTTCTAAAAAATTATGAGAAATATGTATTTTCAGCTGAAAATACATTTTAAAAAGGGCACTCAGTACATGTATTTAATCTATGTAGAAAGGATTTCTACTGCCATTATCCAAAACTGGAATTGGCATTTACGCTTAATAATGATAACAATTTATCAAGCAATTTTATGAAATTGGCTTGCACACTACATGACACACTCATCGGTTGCATACATGTACAATTGATGAGCACAAAGGCTTCCATTATAAAACAATAATCAGTAATCAGTATCCGATACCTATTATAGAAACTTGTACAACATAATGTTGACATAGCTGTATATCTGCCAAATTTCCAAATGACAAGAAAATGGATTACCAATTTGTGGGGGTAATTTAAGCATGAACATGAAAATAAGGTGTAGCCTCTTCAAAATTAATTAATTCATAATTTTTTCCTTTCATTGGATGAATTACCCTCAAATGTACTAGCCTTATGTACAAATAATTTTCAAATGCCTGACCCTCATAACAAAATGTACATGTTAATGATCATTTCATGATCCTAAAGATACAGTAACTTCCTCAAATTTATGCAAAAATATCGGGATGTACAATGAATTAGGATTCCCATATTTCTTATTACTTAAATGGCTGGGGTTACTTTTGTATACTTTTATTTGTTAAAAGTATTTTTGTAATGTTTTGCTTACACTGTACACACTGTACATGTATGTGATAATGATATTATTGAATGACACACTACATGAATCTAGTTTAAGGCAAAGTACAAAGCAAGCCGATTAAACATCTATGTTGTAAAGTTTGAAGAAATTGATGATCTGATTGAAATGTTCACATCTTGTAACATCCGAAACAAACTATAGCATATATTGTACACTGTTGTTCATAACCTGCAAAAGAGAGTATGTTTGTAAGTGAATTTTCTAGGAGTTGTGATGACTACAATTGCTATTAGCTCCATATTTCACTTTGTTAGATCACATAAGCATTTTTAACTACACGTTCCTGAAATGAACAGTATACCTTACATAAATTGAGTATTCGATGAAGACAAACTAGGTATATGTGAAAAACTAATCAAAACTGCACAAGTTTTTCAATAAATGTTAAAGAAATATTTTTCTGCAAACAATTAATGTAACTTAGGTCAATAATACCTAAAGAAAAGCAATTAACTTGAATAAAGTTATGATGTTAACAGTGTGTAACGTCCGAAACACCAGTGGTGTGACATATGGAAATTATTCGGCAATGCACTGGTTCCCCAATTTTTTTGGCTGTATTTAACTTGTATCATCAGTTGTTATAATAAAATAAGTTTGACCTAAGAAAAAAGCATTTTACCTATTGAAATAAAAACTTTTTATTGTCAAAACCCTAATTTGGAGCTATTTTTCACTTTCAAGGGACACAAAATCTGTATTTTTCAAGATAGAAACTCAAAAATTTGCATAAATAATCTCTGAAAAATATTCTTAAAGACCAACATATTTGTTGGTGAAGTTAATAGCAAATGAGTTTTATATCACAGTTATTAGATATGCTATAGTTCACAATAAAATTGTAAAAACTCAAAGTATTCATATCTAGTGAATAAATAAGGAGATAGATTAAGGTCCAAAATTTGCATTTCTCAAAAATATGAATAGTCCTGATCCTAAAAATACATGTTTGAAGTGAGTAAACATGATTTCATTTCAGACCCTATTGTGGACACATTTGGTATATGTTAAAAAAACCAGTGCCATAAGTTATTGTGATTTCTCATGGAATCTGGAAGTGAATTCCATAAAACTGAGGAGGCGTGCATAAAAGAACGTTCACCGTATGTTTTTGTTGAGGTGGGAGGAACAATAAATAATGATTTTGAGCTTGATCTTAAAGTTCGAGTAGGCCGATATAATGATAAAAGTTCACATAAATAAGAAGGGGCAATGTCATGAAAGCATTCGTATGCAAAAACTAATAGAATAATGGTGGTTTTTGACAATATTTATCATCAGGAGAAAAGGATCACATTCTGAGGTACTTTACTCTTATCACTTTCTTTGTCTCACCTATCTCTCTTCCACCTATCACCCATCTCTCTCTTTTTTTTCTCTCTCTCTTTCTCTATTTTACTCTCCTCTCCTCCATCTTTCTACCAGTATCTCTACATTTTTTATCTCCATCTCTTCCTCTCGTCTACGTATTCCTCCCACCTTCTCAGTCACATCCAACATGAGAGACTAGAGTGATTTCACGAGTATAATCGTGCCCTGTCTTTCTCAGGCTTCACTATATGCTCTTTCTATCTTGCTCGGTCTTTCTCCTCCATTCCACTCTTCACATCAGTAGATGTCTTATACAGGTACCCTCTTCAGACAAAGCCCCGTAATCAATGTGACATTCAACGCAAGGATTACAATGTCACTGCCTTCATTTTTGACAAATTAGTGATTTCACATCACCGAGAAGTTCCTAATCCCCCACACACGCGTTAAGCCTCGTTTAAGCATGGACACGGTAGAAACTGCCTCAAACTACTGCCATGGAAATATGAAACACATTTCACGGGATGTACAATGTAAATGAATATCACATGGCAATTTACACAAAATTGGCTGTATACACACAAAAGCAACTTCTTAAATTATTGTTGATATATTTGAATTTCATAAAGTAGCCTACGTATGTCCTTGCTCAATACGACTTTCGTCTCAGAAATTTAATTCAAGGATTGAATTTTCTAGTTACTAGGCTGGTGAGGGAATTTCCCACATCTATAGATCTTCAAGAAAACAAATTTCCAGAAGGCACGTCATAAGCAGTGG